TTTCTGCCAATGTGAATCGTTAAAATGTCGATGTATTTTTTGGGGTACAACTTTGGTACACTTTTGAAGTGTACCCCTGGCATGGTTGTAATCATTTATATTCTTGCATATATTTAAAGACAATTTGTTACGGAATAGTACTTAATAGGACTAAAATATAAGTCATTTTCTAATGTAGAACTTAAACTTTTTTATTCCCTAAATAGTACTCTGTACTTAATAATATTTAGAGGAGGAATCATTGATAGAATTTAGGATATGGTATGGATCACTAGATTGGGCAATAAGACACTTGGGCTGAATCACATTAAAAGATTGAATCCAATCTATTACTTAGTTCAACTCTAGAGCTTATATACCGATTATTTTACTCTTAGATTTCCGATGTGGGATGTACTCTTAACACTCCCCCTCAAGTGGACAACCGAGTCATTTTGAATCTAACCGGTTGACCACTTGTAAATGAACTCCCATTCCCTTGACTTTTTTTGAGCGCCAACACCTAAAGAACCACGAGCCGCTGGGTATGGACTTCCAGACGAGCAATCGTGTTAAACAGGCCACATGTCGTTGGGTACAACCTCCATATATACGGACAACTGGGCTAAAGACTAACGGGCCTCTAGGAATGAACGTCTAGACGGACACCTTTACAAACGAGGTGGGCTAAAACTGGCTCCGATACCATGATAGAATTTAGGATAGGGTATGTATCACTAGATTGGGCAATAAGACACTTGGGCTGAACCACATTAAAAGATTGAATCTAATCTATTAGTTAGTTCAACTCTAGAGCTTATATACCGATTATTTTACTCTTAGATTTCCGATGTGGGATGTACTCTTAACAATCATATCCATAGATGGTAGATATTTACTTGAATAATTAATGACTAATGGATAATGATTAATAGTTATACACTGAGAAATAAAAACATATGACTCTATATTGAAAAAATTATTATATTTTAGTTTTATTTAGATAAATTTAATTTCCCTTATTCTTATTACTTATTTTTATCATTATCAAATTAGAATGTGAAAAGAAAATTCACATTTTTAGAATATGAGTTTTAAAACTGAGGGCCGACCAGAGGGGTTCTCAATAGGGCCGACCTCATGTTGCATACTTTCAACACACACACATTTATTATAATGTGAAAAGAAAATTCACATTTTTAATTTTTCGTTTTAAAGAAAGGAATAAGTAACTAACAAATAACAATATAGTCTTCTTTTCCATTTCTTTTTAGTTTTGTCCAACTCTTTTCATTATCCTTCAATTTTTTCTAATTTGTTCTTATATCCAACTCTGAAATTTTAACGCAAAAGAATAAGGCTTTATAGTAAATATATGATCGACTTGACCTAATTACGAGTCTCGCCTACACAAACGAGCTCATTAACCAAATCTAATACATATGCTAACAAAAACAAATTCTAAATATTTACTTTGAATTTTTAAATGCTGTTTTGACGAATCTCTTTGAATACAATTCCAAGTAAAAAAAAGGTATAAAAATAACAAAATAAGAGACCTAAGTATTTTAAGAACAAAATAAAAATATAATAGCAGTGCGATATAAGACAATAGTCCTAAAAGACTTGGAACGTACTCGAGTATACTTTAGTATATTTTCATTATTTTTTATTCAGATTTTTTTTATTTTGTGAAGTTGAATTTTTTCACACACAAAGGGAGGAGTAGTCAATAAGTGGTTATATATTTCCTTGGATTCTTCCCAAATCTCAATGACACCATCTCCTCTCTTGCTGGCATTGTATTGAACCTTCAACATAGCTAATTAGCTTGCATCTTTATACTATACGACCCAGGACCAGTTTGGCATCAGTGTTAGGACTAGTGTTAGTGCTTTAAAAAGACTATCTGACGTCAGTTTTTGGCATTGTTTGGAACCAACGTTAGAGATTGGGGTTTTGGATAAAGTTTTAGTGGTGTAGATTAATTCTGAAAACGCTAACACTAAAAGCTACCGTCGGATAACTTTTTCAAAACAATAACGCTAAACTCTAATGCTGATGTCAAATGAGGCTTTTGGCCCCATCTGGCGGTAGCTTTTAGCGTTAGCATTTTCTGAATTAATCTACACCGTTAATATTTTATCGAAAACGCTAACGTTAATGGAAAACGCTTTTCTCAAACAAGGCCAAAAATCGTTAGCATTTTCCAAATTAATCTACATCATTAATATTTTATCCAAAATATTAGCTTAGTTGAAAATGTTTTTCCCAAACAAAGTAGTAGCGTTATAGATGGCAACGGGGAGCATCTTTAATTTAAAAGGGGCATTTATAAAAGCTTGGTGACAAATAATAAAAAGGTGAAAATTAAACCCCGCATATACCTAACATCATAAAGCATCTGTCAGGCAAGTATTGATCTGTGTACTATGTATACTATACTTATTCCATCCCATGAAATTTTTCTAGACTACCTTAAAATGTGTAATTCTAAAATTATTTTCTAATTGTAACTCATGTATCATTTACGTACATCATATTCTGTATTATCATAAAATAAGGTTAATTTTAGGGCGTGCCTTTTTTTGTCTTTGAAATTTTTAATGGGACGAGCTGAGAAAGTACTACTCTTTCCGTCCAAGAGTGTGTGCCCATGGCCACTTTCGACTTTTTTCGATCAAAATTAATAAACTTTGACCTCAAATTAAATTAAAATGTTATTATATATTGATACAAAAATAATTTTATTATATTAATTATGTGAAATATTTTTAAAATATCATTTTACCTAATTAATATACAATACTAATTTTATTTTATTATAGCTCAAAGGTTAATAACAGTTAACTGAAACAAGTCATAGATGAGTTACTATGTTGAGCCTGAGCCTGATACTGGCCTGCAGGTTCCTGCCTTCACTTCATTATAATCAATACACACACACATATACGGAGTATATTGGTGGACAAACCAATTCTACGAACCATTAACGTCAACAGCTGCATGCCCCCGCCACTTGTTGCCCATAATAATTAATCACATTTCTCCATTCTTATAACAAAAGAAAAGCTTATATAACAACAATTCTTCCAAGAATGTAATCGGAGCACGTACGATATTTTGTTCATAAAATTAATTATTTTTAATTTCCTAACTCCGCCGATAAACCTACCGAACATGGCCCCTCCCTAACGCACTTCTTATTTTAGGAATAAAAACATGTAAATCCTATTTTGGTATATTTTCAATGTTTTAGTCCTACTGTCGTCTTTCTCCCATCAACCAATTGAGCAAGAACCTTTTTTGTAACATGATGGTTCCAAGTAGTATATATTCCATAATTAAAAGAGTAAATATATATTAAAAGATTTCTTTATTTCTTAAACTAAGATTCTTAATATTTAAAAATAGAAATAATTCTAATACGGAGTATGTGCCGCGAAAAAAAATCTTGTTGATATTTTTAGATATTATACGAAATATATAAAGAAAAATAAAAATATCATTATTTTATAAAACTTTTAATGTACTTCTCGATATGTGAATTTTATTTTAAATAAAAATTGACTAACAAAATAGATTAGAGTGATTATAATTTCAATCAAATATCATACGGAGTAAAATTTTACGTACATATGGAAGGAGTTATTTTTATTTTATACAAAATAATTATATATATATATATATATATATATATATATATAATATGCTTAAACTACTAATTCAACCAACTGAACCGTCGATTCGACCAGTGAACCAGTATTTGGATCGGTTCGGTCATCGGTCCGGTTCTTAAGACTCATTAAAAGTTTTAATTTTCTTGGGCACAACTACTCATAATAAAGTCTTCACGTACCATTTTTTAATTTTTAGTTTCCGCGCTCCCTACCACGTAACGAGGTAATATTTTTGTTTAAATATACTTCTTCTTAGGGGGGTTGTAATGATGGGTAGACTTAAACACAAAAAAACATCTTTGACCATTACAAAGAGATGATATGGCAAAAATTGTATGAGTAGACAACATCTTCTTGAGCTTGCGCACGGGAGTTGATATCTACACTCCACATCTTTAATTGTTTTAAGAAATGGACAAAATTGCCCTTGGGGTTAAAAATTTGATACACTATGCCATAACCCATTCTACTCCACCAGGCCAACCACATTCACTCATTCTCATTTCTCACCCATTCCTCATTTTAGTTGTTTAAAATGTACTCCTTAAGTTTTAGTCTCAATATAAATATGGTGTACGTGTATTAATATTACAATAGACCTTTTGGAGTTTTGGTAAAAGGCATGAGTATATTATTAGAGTATTTGTTATTTTATGTAATTAATTGTTTGGGTCCCTAGTCTATGTTTGGGTTTAAGGCGTGTTTACTTGTATATATATCTGACCTCATGTATTCGACATGGTACCGGAGCATTTCCATTATTTATATGAAAACCCTAGGCACGGTCTCGTCCTCGCATCAAGTCTCCAAAAAAAGAAAGAAAGAAAGAAAAACACCAATAGCGGCTGCAAAATCAATTCTTTTTTTTGGCGAAAATAGCTAGATTTGGTTTAAGCAAATTCTTTTTATGGCGAAATTGGATTTGGATGACGTAGGGACAACAAATCGTATTGCTATTGATTTGGTTTGGCTATGGCATTTGTTTGGCCATAAACCGGAAATTTCAGAATGAGTGGCTCCGAAATATTTAATTCAGATTTTTAAAGATTACGTGAGATTAGGGGTGGACACGGTACAGTTCCGGGACGGTTCCGGTTCCGGAACCGCCACCCCATGTCACCGGAACCGTCACCGTGCCGGCCGGTACCGGTTCCGGTTCCCGGACCGGCGGTTCCTGCACCGGACCGGCCGGTTTCGCCCCCCCCCCCATTTTTTTTTTGCTTTTTTTAAAATTTTTAAAGTATAAAATTTTAAATTTGCAATTCTTTAAGGAAAGAATGAAATAAAAAATCTAAAAATGTAGTTGTTATTTAAATATTTTAAATGAATAATACACTAACTGAAGAACAACCACATTTAATATCCTGACGGTTCAAAAAAAGCGACGAGGTAAAGAACCGTAAAGAAACCCTCGAAGGAGCTATATATCGCTCACCTAAAAAAACTAATTACATATTTACATTAACATAAAAAGAATTATAACTTATTCTTCAGAACTCAGACTTCCATCTGTTGTTGCATTCTTGTAATGCTACGATTCGAGTAGGTACGATGACTCTTGAGCTCGACGTCTTGCCAAGAGCCAATCTTGGTTGCAAACAAGTGTTTCAAGAGATTCAGCGCTAAGACAACTTCGAAAGTCGGTTAGAATGTTGCCGCTAGCACTGAATTCTCGTTCAACTGCTACGGTTGATACCGGAACGGATAACACTTGTCTTGCTAGCATGCCGAGACATGGGAACATTTGTTCGTTCCGCTTCCACCATCCGAGCACATCAAAATCCACGTCGTCGTCGTAATCGCATGGCATACCCTGGTACATAGCAAGTTCGTTGTGCGAGCTTACTGTTGTACCACTTGAACTCATCGAAGAATGAGTACGCTTCCCTTTCTTTGCAAGAAGACCACCGACTATTCCGGCAAAACCTTTTTTTGATTTCGGGGGCGGAGGTGGTGCTGTTTCTTCTTGTACAGTGCCGTATAACCCTTGATATTCCTCAAACAAATTCTCAAAAAAAGTTATAGCATTATCTCTTTCTTTTTCCATTCTATTAAATGACTGTAGTAATAACTATTTTCATCTAAAAAACAACTATAGTAATACTCAATTAAAATTTTAAAATTTTCAATCTTAAAGCGTGGATCACAAATAATACCTATTTTATAAATATCAGGAATGAACAAATAATAAGCACACCATTTATCTCTCATAGGAGCAACATAAGGGTACAAATCCGGATCAGCCATACTTTCACGAAAACATGTTGCAATTGTAACGCACTCTTTAAAAAATGTATTTGTAGTTGGCTGGTAAACATGAGAAAAAGTAAGAGTTGCGTTATTAAAAACTTCTAATACGGCATTCAATTTTTCAACAACAACAATTTCGGAAGGATTAATGATTATATGAAGTTCATCACCAAAAAATTCAGCAAGTTCCTCTTTATATCTTAGAATCTGATGAATCAATTTGTAAGTACTATTCCATCTAATGTGGATATCTTTTGCAAAAACTATTTCTTTTTTACCCTTAGACTTACAGAACATCTTCCAGGACCTCGAAACAAGACGAGCCCCCCCAAATTCTTTTAATTCCTTCTTTAATATTCGTCAAAACTCCGCCCATAGCTTCTATTCCCTGTTGAACACATAAATTTAAAACATGACAGGCACACCGTTGATGCAGAAATCTACCCATAGGCGTAGACGGTGGGCAAATTTCTCTAAGTTTAGGAATAGCTGCAGTATTATTAGTAGCATTATCAAAACCAAATGAAAACACTTTTTCAGATAAGTTGTATTCCCGCAGAATACTCTGAATCAATAGAAAAATATTTTCAGCATTATGCTGATCATTGAAATCACGAAATGCAAGAACACGTTTATGCATAATCCAATCACTATCTATCCAATGACAAGTAACACCCATATAAGACAAATTATGATAAGTTTCACTCCAAATATCAGAACAAATAGCAACACGATAATTAAAATTGAGAAAAAAATTTGCCAAATTTATTTTTCCACTTTTATACTGACGAATAATTTCTCGTTTAATTGTTTTTCTTGAAAAATCTCGTGCTTGAGGGTTTAATGCCTGTTGACAATAATCAATAAATCCAAGTTTTTCAGAAAACATGTATGTCAAATTTTCTTCACAAATCATTTCGGCCATTTTTTGCTTATTTTGCTCGTCGCTATAAGCAAAAAGGCCGCCCTTACATCTGTTTGCAAACCGAGAAATTTGGGTTTGCACTTCTTGTCGTCCCTTCTTTTTTGCCTCATATTTGGCGTACTCCACGGGATGCCTCGACCTTAGGTGTTTTTCCGGACCGCCATAACCGCCGGAAACTCCCATTTTTATGACGGTCCCACAATGTTTACAAGTTCCATAAACTATGCCATCTTTTGTTTCTTTGTCAAAATGATAAACAAATAAATCTGATTTATATTTTTTTTACCTTTGTCCGGACCTCGAGAGGTCTCGGGCTCACCTGCCTCCTCGTCGACGTCGTTGCTCTGCGGTGTAGACTCCTCGTCCCCGTCCAGATTATCCAGATTTGCTTCATCAAGATCTTCGAATACACTATCAAGAGTGAGGAGATTTGCGTCCCCTCTACCAGAATAAATCTGGTCGAATTCTTCATCCGTCATAGCGTTCTCGATTAAGTGATCGGGGATAGTAAGAAAGGAAGAGACGGAGTGTCTTCCTCGAGAACCGCGTCCGCGTGAGGTCGAACCGTCGGAGGTGGCTTTAGCTTTGCCTTTCCTCAAACTTCGGTTCACGTCGCCCATATCCACGGACCTTCTACCGAACTCTCTCGACATTTTAATATATTTATATGAATAATGAATGTATAACTAAAAATTTATTATTATATATTTTTATGAGTATATATTTATATATTATATAATATGTTAATATATATTTTTATTATAATAAATATAAAATGTATAAAAGATAATAAGAATTGAGATATAAGATTTATGAAATTAAGAGAATTAGAGAGGAGTAAGAAGAAATGAGATTATGAGAATGGTGTATTGGTGTGTTATTTGTTTAAAAAAAATGGTGTATTTATAGTGTAGAGTGCCCCCTACCCCCTCCCCCCTCCCCTAACCCCCCAATCCCCCCCTCCCCTCAACGGCATCATAGCCGTTTGAGGGGACCCCCTCACGCTCCAATTACTTTTTTTTGCAGGACAGCAGCTGAGCAGGCAGAGCAGCAGGAAACCGAAAAAAAATATTTAACGGTACGGTACCGGAACCAGTACCGGTACCGCCGGTTCCGTGACGGGAATATTGGCACCGGAACCGGTACCGAACGGGGCGGTCTCGGTACCGGTTCCTGGTACCTGGGACGGTCGTGGGTACCGGCGGTACCGGCGCCGGTAACGATACCGAACCGGTACCGTGTCCAGGCCTACGTGAGATATGTCATACTCCCTCCATCCCCCAGTTTTTGTCCACTTTTGACTTTTGGAACTGTTCATCAAAGCATTTTGACTCATCAAATTCCCTCAATTTGTAAGCCTAAATATAGTCATGTGTGATCTTGTTTGATTTGTCTTAACATATACTCCATCCGTCCCTAAATAAACTTTCATTTTTGACTTTTTGAGGATTTAAGGGAGAGATATTTTTGTGTTGACTTTCCAAAAATACCCTTGATGTGACGTGTAAAAGTAAGATGTGATAGGTATATTATTAGTAAAAAGGTATGATGTGATAGGTAGGGGAATGAAAAAGTAAGGGGTAAAAGGGGTTTTTTAAGGGAAAAGAGAAGTTTATTTAGGAACAAAGAAAAAACGAAAGAGGAAATTTATTTAGGGACGGAGGGAGTAGATTATTACTCCATTCGCCCGGATTTCAAGTTCCCACTCTATGCTTTTCTCCGTCCGGAAATAAAGTTCCCATTATACGTTTTCTAACCCAATTTTTCTAAACTACCCCTCTCATTAATACACCCTTCTCGCCCAATCCTCCTACCCTCATTCATTACACCCTCCTGTCCTTCTTTTCGCAACTCTTCTCCTTCCCATATCCAATCCGCCCAATTCTTTCTCCCTCTTCTCCTAGAACCCTAGATATCTGCCCACATCTAATGGATCCACATGACTATTTCTTGGATTCCATCATTCCGGAGACGGAATTTCAAGATGGTTGGGGTGAGGTCGAAGATTTAATCTCTGATGACAGCGAGGTGGAGGAGGTTATCCTAATCCATAGCGATGACGAGGTCATCGTCATCGATAGTGAAGATGATGGGGCCGATCCTGCCCCGATCAGAGAAATGCAGTGTTTTATCAACATTGAATCTCAAGAAGATTGTATTTTTGTTGATGGGAGGCAGGAGGGTGACGAGATGGAGGAGTTTGAGAGAGTTGGGTTTGATTCTTCTCAACCCATGTACTCACGCATGCACCTCCACATTGATATGCTAAACATCTTACTTCCAAGCCCAGATCCAGACTTTTGGGCTTCAAAGTACAAGTAGGGAAGTTCGTTTAACCTTCTTATACTTCAATTATTTCTACATTACTGGAATAATTATGGATTATGTGAGTTTGGATGGTTCAATTACTGTCCCTGCTCTTCCCTTATTTTGGAAACAGTAACAAGACTCCATATTGTTCATTTCTTTATGCTGCATGTGGCTTTCCTTTAAAAGGGTCCTTAATTAACACTATGTTATCTGTTCCTCTCATGTTTGCAAGACTGTTTGTGACTACTTTATGTGATGAATGTCTGAGAACAATATGCCTACTGTGATGAAAATGTATCCATTTAAGGATGTCTCTGAGTAGTGAGGGTTTTACACCTTCTATGTGGTCTTACTCTGCCAATGGGTGTCCTATCTGTACACTATGTTATCTATCCCTCTAATGTTTGGAAGACTGTTTGTGACCACTTTCTGTGATGAATGTCTGAGAACAATGATGCCTACTGTGATGAGAATGTATCCATTTAAGGATGTCTCTGAGTAGTGAGGGTTTTACACCTTCTATATGGTCTTACTCTGCCAATGGGTGTCGTATCTGTACACTATGTTATCTGTCCCTCTAATGTTTGGAAGACTGTTTGTGACCACTTTCTGTGATGAATGTCTGAGAACAATGATGATTACTATGATGAGAATGTATCCATTTACGGATGTCTCTGAGTAGTGAGGGTTTTACACCTTCTATGTGGTCTTACTCTGCCAAAAACTTATCTGTGGTTTCTGTACACTATGGTTTATGTCCCTATGTTCTTTGTAAGACCTTATGTGACCATTTACTGTGATGAATGTATAAGAATAATGAACCTACACCAGCAATGATGAAGTGGCAGTTATAAAAAATGATAAGCATATGATGGCAGTTGTCTTTCATTATACATATGTTACAAATAGAGTAGTTTGTGTGTAGTTGCCTTGATGTGAGAACCAAAACCCAAAACCCAAAACCCAAAAAGTTATCTGTGGCTACCATTTACAAGCACATAAAACCACAAAACATAATGTGGTAACCACTCTCCAAAAACCCACAGTGGCAACCACTTACATACACTGAAACCCAAAAAGAAGTGTGTGTTTAGTTCAACTCTGAAGATAGGTAGTCATCTCCCTCTTCAGTGTTGAACTCAACCAGTCCTTCATTTCTACCTGCATTCTGTTGTCCAACCAATCTTGCTATCTTCTGAATAAGGTCCAGGTCTATGCTCAAAGACTTAGGAAGATTTCCTTCTCTGGCAAGTCTATCTTTCCCCATATGTGGTAATCTGTAGTTGTTACTGCCTTCATGTTCCATTACCTTAGTCAACACCTGCTGGTATGTCAACCAAACCTTGTTCAAGGTTTCTGGATTGAGGGCATTATATGCTCTTTGAACTGCCTCTAATAACTCTGGAACACTGGTTGGAGCACACTGTTCTTTTAAAGACTGGATGGCTCTAAAAAACTCAAGGTCCAAGATATTTAAATCAAGGGAGTTGGGGGGTTGATTATTTAGAGTGATGTGAAATCCATTTGTGTTACCTGCTGCCATAAAGTCAGAGTCCAGTCCTTGAATGTGTGGCCTTGCATTATCTTGCTGAATTTGTATGTCTTTAGATAACTGTGATGGCCATTTTTCTTGGATACATGGAATGACTTGTTTGATCAGCATATCCTTTGTCACTTGCTTGGTAACACTAGTGATTGGCTTCACCTCCAACACCCCTTTTGCTCTGTTTTTACTCTTCCTCTGAGCTTGAACTGTTTCTGTGAAATGGAAAATGCCAACTTTTCCATCCCACAATACTTCTCCACTCTCAGCAAATAGTGGTCTCCCAACCACACACAAAAACATGACTTTAGTTATGAACTTTTTGGATTTACATGTTCTGTGTGGGTCAATTTCATCTGGAAGCAGGTAAAATTTTTGGGAAGTTTTGGACATATAAAACCACTTTTCATCAATGTGTAAAACATTGTGAAAACTTTTAAACTGAGGGTGGATGGGCATGCTGTAAGGGTCTACTTGATCTAAATAGAACCTCAACCTTGATATTTTATTGCCATCAGTTAAGAAGGGTTTGATTGCATTAGAATGGCTCCTCAGCATACCTTTATTTATCCATTCATGCACGGTTGACTTAGGCTTGCCAATTGCAGCAGCTAAAGATCTTACATTAGTCCTCTTCCTGAGTGGAGTGTCTGCAATAGCCTGTGCATCCATCACTGTCCTTTTCCTGCCCTTCTTTCCTACCAATCGACTCCTCACATCGATGGCAACCCCCTGCTCTATTTGTTTCTTTGCAATTGCCCATATCTTGCTCACTGTTTTTCTAGATACATTAAACTGTGCAGCAAGTTTGTTGATATGCCCATACTGAGCTGAGTATGAACCATTAGGATTTTGCTTTGAATGAGCTAGTAATGTGTCACTGATTACCTGCCTCGTTGTGTTCTCCAACTTCTTCGTATTTAGGTGAGGGTTTTCCCCATCCATGTGTGTTTGCAGGCCTCCAAGAAGTGCAGTTTCCAGCAAAACAGAAGAAAATGAAGAGCACAGAAGCAAGGATAGCAACCCGAAGAAAATGAAGAGCAGCCCGAAGAGAGTTCAAGGACCGCAGCTCGAAGAAACGTGCAAAGACAGCAGCCCGAAGAGAGTTCAAGGACCGCAGCCCGGAGAAACGTGCAAGGATAGCACCCCAAAGAAAATGAAGAGCAGCCCGAAGGGAGTTCAAGGACCGCAGCCCGAAGAAACATGCACGGATAGCAGCCCGAAGAAAGTGAAGATCAGCCCGATGAGATTTCAAGAACAGCACCCCGAATTGACGTGCATGGATAGTACCCCGGAGGAAATGAAGCGCGGCCCGAAGAGAGTGCAAGGACAGCACCCCGAAGAAAATGAAGAGAACATATTCAAGAAAAAACATGCTAAATAAGGAAATGGGAGGGAGCTTTTATAAGACTGTAAGAGGAAAGGTTGTTTTAAAATTTTTGGGAATGTTTGGGCGGGTAGTTTTGTAAAAATAAGAGGGAATTGGAATGTTTTTTTTGGATGATTTGGTAATGTAATGATGATATGATGTAATCAAATCCCATACTTGCCTACTTTTTGGAACCAGTAATAGTACTCAGTATTGTTCACTTCTTTATGCTGCATGTGGCGTTCTTTTCCTTCTTTTTTTAGTAAGGGCATTCTTGTCATTTTATAGCCTTAGTCAACTTTCACTAAAAATGAGCAAAAGTCAAACCGGGAACTTGAAATCCGGACGGAGGGAGTAATATATAATTTCTATAATTTTTTAATATACAAATTACAAGATAAAATGGATTAAAGAAGTGCATTGGATGGTGTGTAAAAATGAAAGTGGACAAAAACGGGGGGACAGAGGGAGTAAGAAATATTTGCACTAAATAGCACTATAACTTAAGTCATTTCTCTAAATAGCACTTAAATTGTTTTATTCCCTAAATAGCACTTAATAATGTCCATAATGACTTGTGATGACAAATATTTACTTGAATAATGACTAATGAATAATGACTAAAAGTGCTACATTGGAAAAAAAATTACATGTAGTACTATTTAGGGAAAGTCATTATGTTTTAGTGCTATTTACTTAAATTCCCCTATGTCATAATCCGTAAATGACATAAAATCAATGAATTATTTTAATTCTACGTGTAGTTAAATTGATTAAATTGAATATTGATATATTTTATGAATTAAATTTTTTTAGATTCCAAAAAGTATAGATTGTTCTAAATCCCATAAAAAAATCAACAATTTATTATAAAATTGATTAAAATAATTAAAAATATTGATTACATATAGAACATTGAAATAGAAATGGAACATGTAGATGCATCAAACACATACGAATGGATGGATCAACTCGACTTTTGTCGAATTTTTTAAAAATAAAAAATGCAACTAAAGTTATGATTCTCCAACGAACACATATAAAATCATTTTTATTATAAATTGGTATATAAATAAAGAGTATAATTTATATTGTTCAAAAATATATAAAATATTCTATAAAATAAGCGGTGACGAGAAAATGGCAATCATGCTAACGATCTGTGTAATGAAACACGGTTAATTTTTACAAGACTTGATAACTGTTTCTTGGAAGCAAAAATGATTTACTGAAAAAATACAAGACAAACCATTTTGATCTCGCGAGTTTTATTAACTCCTTCAGATATGAGATTGTCATTTAAGTTTCAAAGAAGATAATATCTTATTATGGTATCATATAAGATGACCATAAACAAAAGTTAGGGACAATCTCTCTATCATGTTGGCATGTTTTTGAAAAAACCCAGTTTTCAGTCCCAGACAACTGTATGTGACGATCTCTAGGGTACGCTCATGCGCTGGCTTATAAATAATGATATGTAATTCTGAAACTGCTCCCGCTAACACTACAACGAATGCAGTTTATAAGGAAGTATTAAGAATGTTTGATTGGTCCTAATGTGCACACTTCATTTTCTTTCATTCTTATATTATCTAATTGTCCTTAATTTTCATATTATCTATTGAACATAGTACGATCGAATAGTCTCTCTTTTATACGGAGTATTTTGTATGTCTATTTAAAATTAAATAAATAATAATATTTATAAATTGAAATGCGTACACATCTACTATTTATAAACTAATGCCCAATAATTTAAAATATAAAATATTTTTCTCAATTTGGATAAGTTTTTTCTTTCTGTGCATGGTATGTGTGATGCACTAGTTTTCCTAAACACTAAAAAAACTTAAAATATTACAAAATTTTTATTTTTATTAAAATTAGATCAGACCAATTCAAATTAGATTAGATATAAAAAAAACTTTAAATACTCAACTCAAAACTTATTCCAAAACCAATCCGGCCCGTTTTGGTGGTTGAAAGGATGAATAGCTGTCACGGCAATTCATTCATCAATAACTACCCACTTCTCCGTACTCTACTCTTTACCCGCCCATTGCCGCCATTCCTTGACAGAAATCACAAAGCATCTGGAAAATGGCGAACAGGGTCTCCAGTTTCTCCCATCTGGTCCAGCGCGTTACGGCGTCTTGCCTGCTTCACCCTCTCGTCGTCGACGCCGCCGATCACCACGACTTCTCCGTCGTCACTCACGCCGGCGAAGAATCCGATGGAGACAGCTACTACTTCAACTGCGGCAAGGACGAAAGTGAAGACGGGGAAGAAGAGGACGTCGAAGTTCCGGGGAGGGATAAGGAAGTGCTCGCGGAAATGGAGACGATACTGGCGGAAGTGTTCGAGGCGGCGGCGAACCTGAAGAGGGCGTACGTTAGCCTTCAGGAAGCGCACAGTCCTTGGGATCCGGATAAGATGCGCGTGGCTGACGTGGCGGTGGTATCCGAGCTCCGAAGAATCGGAGTCCTGAAGGAAAGGTATCGGCGGAGCGCCGGAGGAGGGCGGCGCAGAGTTGGGGCGGCGACGCTGAGGGAGGTGGTGGCGCCGTACGAGGCCGTGGTGGAGGACTTGAAAAGAGAACTGAAATCCAAAGAAGCTGAAATTGAAATCCTGAAAGAGAAGCTTCAAACGACGTCGTCACCGTGCAGTAGCGCGAAGAAAGGAAAGGCGAAGCAAAAAGCAAAAAATTGCAGCAGTCAATCGCAAGGTACGAAACTTTTCAGGCGCAATTTTCGTTGTGAAATTCAAAATTAGGGCTAAATAATATACTTTCCGGTATCTGCAGCGGCGATGCCGCCGGCGCCGGAGCTATTCGAGAGCACAATGAGTTTGGTGAAAGGGGCTTCGAAATCGTTCACGGCGTTGCTCCTCTCGCTGATGAGATCGGCACACTGGGACATAGCCGCCGCCGTGAGATCCATCGAAGCCGCCTCATCCGCGGCCGTCGCAACGGCGGGCGCGATAATCGGAACGAATCGCGCGAGGTACGCGTTGGAGTCGTATGTGAACCGGAAAATGTTCCAAGGGTTCGAGCACGAGACGTTCTACATGGACGGCGGCCTCTGCTCCGTAGCCGACCCGGAACAGCACCGCCGCGGCTGTTACAGACAGTACCGGGACATGAAGGCGATGGATCCGGCGGAGCTGCTGGGGATACTCCCGAACTGCAGCTTCGGAAACTTCTGCTTCAAGAAATATCTGGCGATCATCCACCCCAAGATGGAGGAGTCTCTGTTCGGAGATCTGGAGCAGAGGCGGCAGGTTCTGGCCGGAAACCACCCGAGGAGCCAGTTCTACGGCGAGTTCTTGGAGCTGGCCAAGGCGGTGTGGATGCTTCATCTGCTGGCGTTCTCTGTGGAGCCGCCGCGGCCGTGCCAGTTCGAGGCGAGTGAGGGATCGGAATTTCGTCCGGAGTACATGGAAAGCGTGGGGAAGTATTCGGGCGGAGGCGGATTTTGTATGGGGCTAGTGGTTGGGTTTCCGGTGAGTCCTGGGTTTAAGCTCGCGAATGGCAGTGTTGTTAAGGCTAGTGTTTTTATGGTTCCCAAGTGTGGCTAATGGGGTGCCTTTTGATTTTGTTTTTTTTTTTTAGAGTCAACCCTTTTACAAGTGTATTTATTTAACCCCGAGTAATTGAAAAAATTTCCGATGATAATCCAAAATTTGGAATGTTTTGCACTTTTAATCATAAAAGTGCATAAAATAGTTCAAATTTGAAATCATATCAAAGTGTACAACAAGGGCAAATACAATTATACAAACGGAGCGTAAAATTCATAGATTATATAAAATTTATAGATTGCTTTAAATCTATGTAGAGTTAGATAAATTTAGTGTATTTTATCAACGGAGTTTTATATTTCCTCCGTTTGGGAAACCTTTCCTATTTTGACCAATGGCCAAATTAAGGAAGTATTAAATTGTAGTTGACTTCGAATTTTGCGCTTGATGTGATGGATAAAAGTAAGATATGATGAATGGATTATTAGACAAAATGTATGATGTAATAGGTAGGATAAAAAAATATGGGTAAAATAGTATTTTTTTTGATAAAAAGTAGAAGTGTTTTGATGGAAGTAAAAATAAGAGGAAATGTTTTGGAGAACAGGTGAAGTATAATTTTGTTGGATTGTATAATCCAAGCTCAAACAAACACCAAACACAAAAAAAGATTCACCGTGCAAGTAGAAAAGAAAACACCGTGAAAAGAAGAACATGGACATGTGCACGTGCCTCTGCCGCTGCTTTGCTTGCGATGTCTGCCGGACCACCGATGACTTCGAAGGGTGACCTTTACATCACCGTGTCCGCTCCCAAAATCCACTTGCTCGGACTCGGGTCATATCCAACTCTCAGAATCAGGCTTGGAACGAACGATGACGCTGCTGTCAGACAAACTATTGGCAACGACAACGGCGAAAGCTAGAGAAAACTAGGGCATAGAGTTCCATTCACTTTGATGGAAGGAGACGATAAATGCTGTGTATCGAAATTCGAAAGAGCAAGGGCATGGAGTTGATAAAACTTAAAAGAGTAATGCTACTTTGACCCCAAGAACATAAATCTCCCCTTTAACCCCGCTCTTACAAACCTTAGAAACATTCACATACACGGAACAATGTCAGATGTCTGTAAATGTCTGCAAGATTTGTAAAGGGGTAGAGTTTATATTTTGGGGTTAATATAACATTTTTCTCTTTACAATTTTGTTGAGATTTGATTTCAATTTATACCCGATTTAGAAAGATATTTTAAAATCCAATTTGAATAATCTAGATTTTAAATGACGTTTGAAAATCTAAATGGAATATTTACCGACTTTTTAAATCCAAAAAAGTACTGCATAATCAAGAGTAAATACACACCTCCTCAGATACTTTACTTTTCGAGCTCTTTCGAGATTGAAATGTGTGGTGCTTAAGAATTCTCCCTTTCGAATTAATTATAACTATGCATTTTTAGTTTTTTTTTTTAATTCTTAAACTTTGCAAAGTCAAACCATGAATTGAATTTGCAATAAGATTGGAGTAATAATAATTTCATTAATTTAATCCGGTGTAGGAGGGGCCTTGTTGGGCATGTACCTCCATCTCACGTGGATGTTGCTTGGGGTTATTGTAAATTTGTAATGCCTCCAAACCTCCATCAGATGGTGTACATTATGCTACCCAACACCATAGTAGGGCTGTAAACGGATAACCGAAAATTCGATTACCGTCCGCATCCGTATCCGTTTATATGGAAAATATCCGCATTCGTTAAAAGCGGTTATTATCCGTATCCGATTAAGGATATTCGATTGCTAAACGGATACGGATTTGGTAATCATACATCCGATCCGTTTATAATCCGCTCCGCATTGACATCCGTTTAAATACCCGTTTATCCGTATATCCGATCCGTTATATATAGTCTTTCCTAATTTTTTATTTTTACATTTTGTTTCTCTATAGATATCTCAAAGTATAAGACATTTTTATATGCAAAATATATGTGTAAACACATAAAAGTATGTGTATATATGTATTGTGTAAATCATTTTATGATATGAAGTTATCGTAGAATATCATAAACTATAAAAAATAAGAAAATTAATATCCCATAAAAATTATAGTTGATTTAATAATATTTTAATTTAGTTTAATTGAAAATTCAAGTATTGTTTAATTTAGTTTTAAAAATTGGAAACGGATACGGATATATCCGATATCCGACCGATATCCGACGGATGCGGATACGGTTTTGATTTTTCAATATCCGTCTAGATCCGTATCCGAATTCGATATCCGACAAAAATAAACGGATGCGGATTTGGTAATGGCACATCCGATCCGATTAAAATCCGTTTACACCCCTACACCATACCCTCTGGGGTCTCCTCCCCAAGCGAGACTCTACGCCGCATTCGAGTTTGCTCTGGGGCTCGGATTCACGCCCTGTTGAGTATACTAAGACTATGTTCCGTTCGCCTAATTGAATCTGATTTTTTGAAGATCTAATCTAGTCTGATATGGTCTAGTACTCTAGTCTGGTCTGATAGCAGTTATAATAAACAGAAAAAATAAGATGAACAAAACACTGCCTAACTATTTGTGACAACCCTCAATGAACAACAATTATTGTTTGGGACATAAAATGAGCAATCTTTTACGATATCAATGCATTAAGATTCATAAAATTAACATGGATCATAGGACCCCAACGAACCAGTTGAGCCCCACCCCAATTATCCAGCCGGTTCGTTATCCCCCTTGGAATTCCAAACATATCCTTTAACTCTTAGGTTGTGACGTAGAATCCTATTATGAGCTTTTATGGCAACGGACAACAACTTCTGCATTTAACTTTAACGTTCCAAAATGTTATCTAAGGGGACATAATTTGCTTCACATTTCTTTGAAAACAAAATAGTTGTGATCACAATATCTACTACAGCTTTAAGGACAAAGTTAAAGAAGTCATACATACTTAGAGGAGAAAAGCAACCAAGATATTAACCCCAAAAAAAGATTGCATAAAAATACATATGCAACAAATTACCATCAATATATAGATAGCGAAGAGTGAGCATCAACAAATCACTTCTTTCCCAACTTCATTGATTTCATGCCTTTCTCACTCTTGAATTTTGCGAGAGCTTGATCAAAGGTGCTCCTAGTGTGCTCACACATAAGCATCAGATCATGGCATGCATCTTTCAGCACTTCCACGGCCGGATCACCTGCAGTTACCATGAGTGAAGAACCATAATAACCATTTCTGTAAATTTGGACGGGAAAAGGAAGAAGATGGTAGGCTGTTGCAACAAGGCATTTCAATATGGCGAAAACGGTGAAAACAAGGCATTTCAATATGGTGAAAACGGTGAAATCAAGGCTCTTCAAGATGGTGAAAACTGCTAAAACAAGGCACTTCAGGTGGTGAAAAGTGTGAAAACAAGGCTCTTCAAGATGGTGAAAAGTGAGAAAACAAGGCTCTTCAAGATGGTGAAAACTGCTAAAACAAGGCTCTTCAAGGTGGTGAAAAGTGTGAAAACAAGGCTCTTCAAGATGGGGAAGGCAAATGAAACATTTCAAAGACCTCTTCTAACAAGAACTAAAACAAATTACAGAGAATATGTTTCTATCTACTAGGGTGCAAGATGAAGAACATATGTTAGAGAAAGAGAGCTGTTTCCTTGCAATGAAAACAACAGTTTGAATGTTTACCTGTAGTCTGGACTCTTATATTAACCCGAGCCTCTGAAGGATGCGGAATGTTGTACCCACAAAGTATGACTCTGGGACTGCAAATATAGCATCACAAAGTCATGTCACTTGTTTTATAGAGCTTTTGATGTAGTTTTAAAATATATGAATCTTATTTTGTAATCATATACCAATTTTCAAATAAATTAAATTTAAAAAAAACTACTGTTTGGCTCGTACTACGAAATGGGGCTTTAATTTTGGGACGGAGGGAGTATTATAAACACATACTCCTGATTAAGAGAGAATCTAAGCGCATTGGCAAGTGTATGATCTTCATCTGCCAGAGAGAATGTTCCATTGCATTGATCTTGGACTGAGCTCTGCTCCATTTATTCTACAAGAAACTGCAGATTAATTACTTCGCAAGATAATGCAATTTTTAGGCCTATTCTCAGCTAAATCTAGTGGCTACAATAACATCCCTTATGACTGCAAAATGTTAATTGATAATGTGCCATGCATGCAAAAACTTGTATCCGTCGCGAACGGAGCTAAAATAGTCATAATTAAGAATGTTTTAGCTTCAAGTAAATAATGGCCTAAATCAAAATGAAGCATTAAACTTCCTTTTCTTCTTAATTAAGAAAGTTGTCTGTGATTACTTCTTCCGTTCACTAAAATCCTTCCTTTTTTTTGCTTTCACCAAAACCCTTCCTTTTTATTAAAATGACTACTTTATCCAAATAAAGTCATTGCAATATACTCCATCCATTTTGCATTGATATAATAAGTTATTTAAGTGATTTATCTCTCTTTTCTTTTCGACGATAATGATTTAATAGGAAAGTCAAACTACAAAAATAAATCTTGCAAAAGTCAAAACAGGAATGAGGGAGTAGCTTTGTTCATATATTCAATACGGAAAAGTTATCAAATAAAACACCGTCATAAGAAAATAAATTAATTTGTGAAGATCATAAATTGCTATTTTAAAGAATACTCCGTATAATATGTGTAAGTTCTTATTTGAAAATCAAAATATATGAGGTCTAAGTTCTTATTTGATTCGCCGGTGTTCTGAACTGCTTAATCAAATTCGCAAGGTGATGCTTGTGAGAATTTGTTTTCTTAAGCAATGTAACGCTCAATTTTTCAAAACAACCACGAGTTTTACAGAACAAATCCTCAATTACATAGGTAACTAGGTAAGTATGGACCATTGAAAGAATTTTTCAGTGTCAATATAGCTTTCAACAATGGATCAATTTTGATGGATTTTCTTTTTAACATACTTTTGCATACTATCTATTCATTCAACTAATTCTAAAAAAGCAAAAAGTTACATTAATTTAATAAAAAACTAAATCTTAATCGAACCCTGTTGACTCTATGTGCTTCAACTGATTGAAAAAGTATGTATGAACAGATACTACATTGTTTTAGACTCAATAGTACTTAAGAAAACTACCCCTGGTACATCTTAATATAAACATACTCCGGATGAAAATCAACCTAATATCATTTGATAAATTCATACTTCACTGATTCACAAACCACAAATAACAAATTCACATATCATCTGGCATAAATTAATAATCTTGATAAATAATTGTATAAAATAATTAGGTTTTGAAAAAAAAACGAACCTGGCACTTGGCAGTCAAGATTGGAGTCTAGGTGACGGAGACCTGGATCAGCGCTGGCGCGGACGGCGGTCTGGCGGTCGGTGACTGGCCCAGACGGCTTACGGGGCGAAGGTCTTTTTGCTTGGGCACTTCGACTGCGCTGCTGCGTTGTAGGCTTGTAGCTAGGGGTGTAAACGGATAATATCCGTTTAGGATGTATTATAACCGTATCCGAATCCGATTAGCAAAACCGTTATCCTAATCCGAATCCGACGGATGTCTACGATATTAAATCCGAATCCGAATCCGGCGGATACGGATGCGGATTCCGATATATCTGCATCCGACGAAGCATCCAACTAGTAAAAAAATCCGAATCTAAATCCGTTTCTAGATTCGATAAAACATCCGATTCGCAAGGAAAAACCGTATCCGTATCCGAAATATCAAATGAACAGTTCGGGTACAACAACAATGGCGATTTCATAGTGGCGCTGATTCTAAAATCAAATGAACAATTCGAGTACAACAACAGTGGCGATTTATTTTTCTTATGGGCGATTTCATAGTGGCGATTTTCAGAGAGGCGTTGATTCTAAAATAAAAGGAAAAAATAAAAGCATAATTGAGAGTTTGTACCTAAAATCAAACAAGAGAGTAGATGATGATGCTAAGGATTGAGGTGCTGAGCTGAAGCCGCAGACTCGCTGAAATGGTCGCTGGATTCGGAAAATAGCTGAGGAAGACGCCGCTAGGTCAGTTGGCCACTCTGTCGCTGGATGCTGGTTCCGGAAAAAAAAAACGTGCTCCGTATTAGGTATGTATTTAGGTTTAACCAATACTCAAGTCTCAATAGTGATTTTGGGCCATTTAGGCTTAGTGGGCTGAGAAGAAATTAGAATACTAGGAGTATACGTAAAAATCAAGAGAATGAATTATTTTTCCAAATCAATCAGTGTTAATTATTGATACCAATGTAATGACTGGACACCAATGTCATAACATGACTCTCTGTACCTTGTTTGAAAATTGATATTCCGTATTTCCTACGCCCAAAACCTCCCTGCACTCCCAGTCCCTTGCCCCCCCCCCCTAGTAAAATAATTTACTCCGTATCAAATAACTATTAAATATAATGTATTTTGATTATTTTTTAGAATAATTACTTAAATATGGCTAAAATATAATGACTTTCTCAATATAGGATCATATGTTTTTATTTCCCAATGTAGGACCATTGGTCATATCTATTAGTCATATTCAACTAAATGTTCAGCATCACTTGGACATTATTCTTCTCACTAAACATTATTAAGTCATATTTAGGAATTTTTAAAAATTTAAGTCCTACATTGGAAAATAACTTATGTTTTAATCCTATTCAGTACAAATTTCACTATTTATTTTTTATTATTTAAATTTTTAGAGATTTTTCAAAAAATTCTTTTGAAATTAAGTATCTTCCAAATCAGCTCTCTAAAGTCATAATTATAATATAACCTCAATTGTAGAGGAGTAACATGGAAAAGAAATATCATGAATCATCATAAAAGTAATTATTGCTTATTGATAATAAATTTTAAAAAATATCCCATTAAGAAAATACTTCGTATCATTTTGGGAATTCACTCAAACTAAAAAAGGCTTTAAAACAATGGTATTTCGTCTCACATACCAATATACGAGTACATATAAAGGTGTTTGACAGTGTGTTAATTTCGTGAAAAAATAAAAGTGCTAAGTTATACTCTATCCGTCCAAATTTAATTATTTATCTATTATTCACATAATCAAGCTCTATTCACTTTTTCACAAAGTTTCATTAATTATTTGATAAAAAAGAGTCGTATCACCACTGGTTTTGTAAAACGTTTGACGTAATTTTTATGTAATTTTAATTTTTTAATTCCACCTCAAATATCATACTCCGTATAAATTAATTTGAAAACAACTTCAATCAAAAATCATAAACCGAAATAAACACTTCCAAATAGGATGAAGAAAGTAGAAAATAATTACTCTTAGGACATGTTTAGTAAGTTTTGAAGATATAATAAAATATGAGTTATGAAATCTAGAAGAATTAATATTGGTTCTGAAATCTAAAACAAAAGTATTTTGAGAGAACAAAAATCAAATCAAATCATAGCCACAAATGTTTGGCGAGCAATTAAAAAATAAAATACGTGTGTTGAAAAATATTTTATTAAAGGTCAAAGTTATATTTTCAAAATATTATTTTATCTAATTAATATAGTATGTAATTTTTATATAATTATAGGTCAAAGATCAATATTGATCAACTAAAAAAATCAAAACTGGACAAATACTATAGAATGAAAGAGGTATGTTCTAAGGCACCACAAAACACCCATCATTTTTCATATCCTTAGACTTTTATCTATTTGCTTAATCCAAAGTTTTTGAGGCAACAATGCACCCATCTCCTGCACCGTCGATATCAAGAACACACAAAATCTACGGCTATGATTGGTTGTGTAATATTACCTATTTAGAATGATAAATTAAAGGAAATTTCGCATGCATAATTACTTAATTCTGATAAAAAAGGAAGGGACTAATTTGTTTCCTAACCAATTCGCCTAATTACTTGATTGTGATAAAAAAGGAAGGGACGGTGCAGGAGATTTTTTCTTTTTTGTTTCCTTTTTAAATAGGAAATTATTTATGCCCAATCACTTGGAATAATTTACGCCTAATTATTTTATCAAAAAGTAATTATTTACGCCTAATTAAATAGGTAATTATTTACTTAATCACTTTATTCTTAAAAGGAAATACTTTTAAGAATAATTTCACAAACAAGAGATTTTTTCTTTTTTGTTTCCTTTTTAAATAGGTAATTATTTACGCCTAATTACTTGGAATAATTTACACCTAATTATTTTATCAAAAAGTAATTATTTATGCCTAATTAAATAGGTAATTATTTACTTAATCACTTTATTCTTAAAAGAAAATACTTTTAAGAATAATTTCCCAAACATGAGATTTTTTCTTTTTTGTTTCCTTTTTAAATAGGTAATTATTTACGCCTAATTACTTGGAATAGTTTACGCCTAATTATTTTATCAAAAAGTAATTATTTACACCTAATTAAATAGGTAATTATTTCTCTAATCACTCTATTCTTAAAAGGAAATACTTTTAAAAATAATTTCGCAAACATGAGATTTTTTCTTTTTTGTTTCCTTTTTAAATATGTAATTATTTACGCCTAATTACTTGAAATAATTTACGCCTAATTATTTTTTCAAAAATTAATTATTTACGCCTAATTAAATAGGTAATTATTTACTTAATCACTCTATTCTCAAAAGGAAATATTTTTAAGAATAATTTCGCAAACAAGATCTACGGCTATATTTGGTTGTTTCCTTTTTAGAATAATTTCGCATGGATAATTACTTAATCACTTTATTCTTATATAGAATGATAAATTAAAGGAAATTTTGCATGCCTAATATATTTCTAAAAAGGAAACAAAGTATAAAAAATCTTATTTATATAAACTTCTTTTCTGATACCAAACTTTTTAATAAAATTGGAAGTGATATAATAAAAAAATGATTACCATGAAACTAAAAATAATATTTGTCCATAAAAGGTAATAATCACGTTAAGGTGTAAATTTTTTAATCAAATTTACAGTTTCGTAATTTATATAATTTACAGTTTCGTAATTTAAATAATTTCCAATTAAGAAAGAAACCATTTTAATCATACAAACCATTTGTTTCCTTTTCGGAAATAATCTTTTCGTATAAATTATGATCACGTCCTATGCTTGGTTCAGGACATATTTACGAAATTGACGATTGACGATAAATTGTTCTCGACTTTTAAAACAAACACACGTAAAACCAAAAATGGTTGTGTGGGCAACTTCGGACAAAATTGATGATGGTTTAGGCCAGTTCATGGTAAAAGTGCGAGCTGTAAGGATTTATCGAACCGCTGCGCATGATCGCACACCGGAATCTCTTGACGTCATCTTTCATGATCAAAAGGTTTGTTAGTACTTTTTATCGATCCACATTTATTATATTTATTAAATAAATCATTGTTATAACAAAAATAATCATTTCTTGATTTACAGGGGAATTAGATTCATGCACAGATAAAAGATCCGAATATCAAAAAGTTCGAAGAGCTAATTGAAGAAAATCAAGTTTACAGTTTAACCCGGTTCAAAGTACAACACAACTTCCAGAACACTAAGACAACCTCACATCCTTTTATGATAATGTTTTTTGGAACAACCAAAATTCAAAAATTGTCTTCAGACCTATTTCCAAATTTCCGATACAAATTCATGTCATTCGATGATATCAAATTACTGCCTTTGATGGACGACATTTTGATGATTGGTGAGTATATTATATAATGTTTATATCAAAAAAAATTTATATGTCGGTTATACATTAATTAAAATAAATATTATATACTATTATTTTGATCACAGATGTCATTGGAAAAGTTGTTAGTCGTACCATGCCAGAAGAACGCATGGTAAAATGTGCCCCCGAGAGGATGATGGAGGTTGTATTGAAAGACCATAGGTATTCATAAACATAAATGTATCATATTTGATGTATCGAAAATTCGGAAAAAAGTCTGACGACAATTTTTGAATTTCGGTTTTTCCAAAAAATACTATCATAAAAGGATGGGAGGTTGTCTTAGTGTTCTGGAAGTTGTGCTGAACTTTGAACCGGGTTAAACCATAAACTTGATTTTCTTCAATTTCCTTTTCGAAAATTTTGATATTCTGATCTTTTATCTGTGCAAGGATTCGATTTCCCTGTAAATCAAGAAATAGTTATTTTTGTTATAAAAACGATTTGTTTAATAAATAACAACGATTAAAAAAAATTCTAAAAAACCTGTTGATCATGAACTATGACATCAAGAGATTTCGGTGTGCGATCATGCGCAGCAGTTCGATAAACTCTTACCGCTCGCACCTTTACCATGAACGGGCCTAAACCATCATCAATTTTATGCAAAGTTGACCACACACACATTATGATATACGATTTGTTTTAGAAGTCGAGAAGAATATACCGTTGTGTTGTGGATTGTGGATCTCGTAAATGAGATCACAATTTATACGAAAATATTATTTTCGTAAAAGGAAACTCGTAAATGTATAAAAGAAATTTCTTTTTTAATTACCTTTGTTTAAAAACGTCTCATAAAAAAGAAAGCTTATTAATCATTAATTATATTTTCTAAACTTGAAACTCACGGGTTTCTTTACCAAATTTCTCACAAATCTAATTACATAAATTAAGGAAATAAGTGAAATTGGTAGCTTTCCTTTTTTCCTCCAAATCAAGTAATAAATATATGAATTTTAATAAATGCGTAGAAAGGTATATATTGCGGAATCTTTAATTACCTTTGTTTAAAAACGTCTCATAGAAAAGGAAGCTTATTAATTATTAATTATAGTTTCTAAACTTGAAACTCACGGGTTTCTTTACCAAATTTCTCACAAATCTAATTACATAAATTAAGGTAATCACCACATTAATTGAGAATCATGTTTTATTTCGTTCCTCCGTGTATCTTTATTTTACCTTTAATTAGGAAAACGTGTGATAAAAAAAGAAATTTTATTAATCATTAATTATAGCTTCTAAACCATAATATAACACACGGGGATCCTCTACCAATTTTTTCATAATTTTTATTACCTTGATTAAGGTAATCACCTCATTAATTGAGAATGGCGTTTTATTCCGTTCCTCCATGCATTAATTTAAAACGATATAGTTTAACAACGCGTGTTCAAAAAGGAAGTTTATTAATCATACCTTTTAAACCATTATTCTTCTAGATTTTTAGATTTTTAGTCAAATGGGGCTAAAAATTACACATGTTTCTAAAACCATTATTTTTTAGTCAGTTAATTTTTTTAGAATTAATAATGGCTCGTTTTAAAAGCATGCACTAATATAATTCCTTTTTTTAATATTTAAAAATTACGCTAGTTATTAAACCATTATTTTTTAGCTTGTTAATTTTATTTTTTTCTTGAATTAATGATTTGTCGTTTAAAAGCATGCATTAGTATATTTCCTTAATTAAGGTAATAATTGCCTGAATTATATCATATCATCAAAATTAATATCATGCGTTTTTATTAATGTCGTGTGTATTTTAAGGAAATATGATGTAAATAATAATAAAAACGGCATTAAGAATTTTGGTAATTAAATAAGAACGCATTAAATACACACGGTATTTCCCTTTTTTATCTCGAGTAATACAAATGGATTAATAATAACCGTAGATTAAATGTAATAGATTAAAATCGACGGTCCATAGAACATAGCATTTGGGCAAGAAAAATCATGTGGCATAATTCTCATGCTATTAAGAATAGGATAAAAATAATTCACATTAAGGTACGAATTTGTTTCCTTTTCAAAAATAATCTTTTTCTATAAATTATCATCCCGTCCTATGCTTTGTTCGGGACATATTTACGAAATTGACGATTGACGATATATTGTTCTCGACTTTTAAAACAAACACACGTAAAACCAAAAATGGGTGTGTGGGCAACTTTGGACAAAATTGATGATGGTTTAGGCCCGTTCATGGTAAAAGTGCAAGCTGTAAGGGTTTATCGAACCGCTGCGCATGATCGCACACCAGAATCTCTTGACGTCATCTTTCATGATCAACAGGTTTGTTAGAAATTTTTTTTCGATCCAGATTTATTATATTTATTAAACAAATCATTGTTATAACAAAAATAATCATTTCTTGATTTACAGGGAAATCAGATTCATGCACAGATAAAAGATCTGAATATCAAAAAATTCGAAGAGCAAATTGAAGAAAATCAGGTTTATGGTTTAACCCGGTTCAAAGTTCAGCGCAACTTCCAGAACACTAAGACAACCTCCCATCCTTTTATGATAGTGTTTTTTGGAACAACCAAAATTCAAAAATTATCTTCAGACTTATTTCCAAATTTTCAATACAAATTCATGTCATTCGATGATATCAAATTATTGCCTTTTGATTGGACGATATTTTGTTGATTGGTGAGTAAATTATATAATGTTTATATCAAAAAAATTTTTTATGTCAGTTACACATTAATAAAATAAATATTATATACTATTATTTTAATCACAGATGTCATTGGAAAAGTTGTTAGTCGTACCATGCCAGAAGAACGCATGGTTAAATGTGCTCCCGAGAGGATGATGGAGGTTGTATTGGAAGACCATAGGTATTCATAAACATAAATGTTTCATATTTGATTTTGATTTTTTTTCCAGCTTTCTACTATTAAAAACTTTATTCAATCTTTGTTCAAGGAAATCCGTCTAAATTGTACGTTGTGGGCTCATCATATTGATAAAGTGATCAAGGGACTCAATGAAGGATTGACAAATTCACCAATTCTTTGTTTGCAAATGGTGAAACCTAGACGATATAATGGTATCACTATTAAAAAAAATTAACACTATTTTTTTTGTGAAATTCTTTCATGCCTAATGATTGCGATAATTAAAATTCAAGAAAAGTCTATGTTTCTACCTTTTATAATGTGAGTAAAGTTGCTCTTAATGAAGACTCAGACGAAGTTAAAGACTTCAGAAAAGAGTAAGTTAACATTTTTTATTTTAATTGTGGTTTCAATTTTATATAATGAAAAGCATATATATATATATATATATATATATATATATATATATGCATCAAAATTAGGTGCACCAAAATGGTTTGAAAATGCATCATGTCGAAATGCACCAAAAACCTTTGAAAATGCATCATCTCAAAATCTGAGCGCAGGATGCAATCTGAGCCGCTTGATGCATCAGATCCAAAGGCTAGATTTTATTCTTATTTCTTTCACCAAGGTGCATTCTCACCTGAACCGGCCCATATATATATATATATATATATATATATATATATATATATATATATATATATATATATATATATATATATATATATATATATATATAATGAAAAAGATTATAGGATGGAATTTTTCATAATATCTTGGCTGAAGGAAAAATTGATGAAGGTTTTGGCTCATTCATTCATGTATACAATCATTAATAACACTTAATAATTAAAACATTATTCAAGGAGAAATTACCATCTGGAAAAATGTTCTAATTAAATAATAATTAAAATATTACATTCATACGGAGGTATTAAAAATGGTTTAATGCGTAGACACTAAAAAAGGTTTCTATAATTTTTTCATTTTTATTTTATTCCTACGGAAATTACTATTTGGAAAAGTGTTTAATTAAATAATATATCATTCCAATTAGATGGCCATTTAATAATTTAATAATTGACCCTTTAATAAATCTTCCTACATCCAGAAATTACCATTTAAAAAAATCCTTTAATTAAAAAAAGGAAACGTAGTCAGGCATTTAACAGAAATGTTTAAATGTAGACGTGCCTTTTATAATACTTCCTACATCCGAAATTTACTATTTTAAATAAAATATCTCCTTTAATATAATATCTCCTTTACTTTTTCTTATGATTTTTATTATTTTAAAAAAAATTGTTTTCATTTTACGAAACATTTTTTGTATAAATGTGGACACATGCCGTGTTGGGGAAAAAATATCTCATTCTCGATGATATTTTTTACGCTTTTAAATACACACACAAAAAGAACCATGGGTGTGTTAGGGAAAAATTGATGAAGTTAATATATTTTTTATTTTAATTATGGTTTTAATCAAACAAAAAAATAAATTTGCTTTTATTGTACCATACAGGTTATAAAATAGCAAATGATCCAAGCTATTTGCAGGACCGTGCAATTTTGGCTCCAACGTTGGATGTTGTCGATTCTATAAATGAATATATGACATCGATGAATTCCCATGAGGAATTACGCACTTATCTAATTCGAATTTCTTTAACGACTTGCATACTCCTGAGTTCTTGAATAAGATTCGTGCTTCCGGAGTACCAAATCATGAGCTCATTTTGAAGGTAGGCACTCCGATTATGTTACTAAGAAACATTGATCATTCAATGGGTTTGTAATGGTACTCGATTAATAGTAACTCGGTTGGCTAATCACTCGATCCAAGGAAAGATTTTATCTGGAAGACACATGGGTCAAGAAGTTATTATTCCAAGACTATCACTGACATCATCTGATGCAAGAATATCATTCAAGTTTTAAAGAAGACAATTCCCTGTGGTTACTTCTTATGCAATCACAATTAATAAGAGTCAAGGCAAATCTTTAAAACATGTGGGATTATTGTTATGGAAACCCGTATTTAATCATGGACAATTATATGTTGCGGTTTCAAGGGTAACAAATCGTAATGACATGAAAATTCTTATTTGCAACGCAGAGGATGTCTCAACAAAATGTACCACTAATGTAGTTTATAAAGAGGTTTTTCAAAATTTGTAATTTATAGATATTCGTGCTTTACAATACTAAAAAATATTACGGAGTATATTTTATTATATGTTGAATTTCTTTCCTTTTATAATGATACCAATGTAAATTTACAACGTAATTGCGACCCGTGCAACGCACGGGTGTGATACTAGTTTTATTAAAGGTCAAATTATATTTTCAAAATATTATTTTATCTCATTAATATAGTATGTAATTTTTATATAATTATAGGTCAAAGATCAATACTGATCAACTAAAAAATCAAAACTGGACAAATACTATAAAATGAAAGAGGTATGTTCTAAGGCTCCACAAAACACCCATCATTTTTCATATCCTTAGACTTTTATCTGTTTGCTTAATCCAAAGCTTTTGAGGCAACAACCATAGAGATGAACTAGCAAATGCCTTCTCTGAATTAACCAGAGATGAACTCCGCTCAATAAGTTCGTTTAGAAGTTAATGCTAGTGGCAATACAAGCCAAGTTCAAAGCTTTCAAAATTGATGTGAACTAGCAAATGCCTTCTCTGAACTAATCAAAACTTTGATCTCATATGGAATTTATAGTTCTACAACAAAAAAAACATTTCATCAAACGATACAATGCCGAGTAACCAAACCATGATATGACAGAGATATGTGTTGTCACAGCTTGAGGTAGACAACCTTAATGCCCTTTAATATCTTCTCTCTCCGGCTTTGAGGATCTTTGGGTTCAAGAATCAGCACAGAAAGGCAGTGGGTGTATTTTCGCTCGACTTCTCACATTAACGAAGGTGGAGCAAATGTTTGATGTAGAAAATGAAGGAGATAATCAGCACTGTCTCCAGTCCTTCCCAACATAAACTGCTTGATCCCCGAGCTCCTCTTCAATTCTGATAAGCTGTTTTGAAATTTTACTTAAGAGCATTATGTCTCCGAAGAAAAAGCAGGAATAATTTGCACACATTTTTTGAAGAATGGAACTGCTATGGTTTCAGATCAGGTATAATGTGCTTCATAATATCACCTATCTTGTGCGTAGTACTTTTGCAATGACTTATTTACGAGGAATATGTAGCTTTCAGATGGAGAAATGTACTCCCGTTTTATATATTAAAAAAAAAGTAACATTTTGAAGGAGATCTAAAATAGAAGGGGTTTTCAAGTGAAAAAGCACTTTAAAGATGCCCTTAATCTAAATGTCAACGGTCAACCCCTTCTTGATTGTTACGAAACTTCAATCTCAATTATATCTTTGTACGGAGCTATGGTGTAGTTTGGTAAGATGCAATGTAAATTTACATTTGAAATATACTTAATCACATTCCATGTTATTACGGTCTACCAAACTATACCACAGCGTATTGTTTAAGTGCAACCAATGTCTCTACGTGTTATTTGGCATTCTAAATGTTGTAGACAAAGTGATACAGGATATCTGTATTTAATTTCTCATCTTTCTACCCCCTTCATTTGGCAATCCTTAAAAGTATGCTTGGATCATGAAAAATGCTCGGGAAACAAAATGAAAAGGAAAGAGAATTTATTTTCTAATGGTTGATTTCAACTTAGAAAAAACAAAGAAATATAAAATATCATCAACACGTTTACTAACTTTACATATATTTAGATTTCTTAATATTTCTATGAACATTGTTTGACATGACACATTTTAAAACAGGGTGAAGCAGTCTAAAAAACAAACCTGGTTGTACTTGGCCAGTCGCTCTCCACGGCAAGGTGCTCCTGCTTTAATCTGACCTATCCCCAAACCAACTGATAAATCGGCTATAAAAGTGTCCTCAGTTTCACCACTCCTTTGGGATATCACCACTCCCCAATGGGCATCCTTAGCCATCTTCACTACTTCAATAGCTTCAGTCACAGTCCCAATCTGATTAATCTATATCCCAGTTCAACCATGTTACAATAAGGTGGCAAAACAAGGCCAGTTAGGTTAAGATATATCTAGATATATTCCACTGTTTCGTGGAGAGATGTAAATATTTTAACCTACTACCTTTTCTAGAAATTCAAAGACTTGTAAGCACATACCTTTACAAGAAGAGCATTACACACATTCTCCTGAATGGCTCTCTCAATTCGTTTAGGATTTGACATTAACAAGTCATCTCCAACTACCTGAAAGAGAAAGGACAATGAAAAGAATTTTGGATTGGGGTCTTTAGTTACACTCAATATAATAAAATATGTTAACCTGGCATATTCCAAGGCCAGAAAAGTATTTTGTGTGTTCCCAGTCTTCTTTGTCAAATGGATCTTCAATTGACACAATTGGATATTCTGATGAAAAACAGTGGAACATACATTGTGAAAACAAGAAAAACGGCAGACCATGGAAATAGTTTGCCACAGTTATCTTCCTAGACAACATATTGCGATATACCTGTACAGAGTTTGCTGTACTTCTCAACCATATTCTCTCCAGATTTAAAATTTTGTCCGGATTTATTTGGAGTTTTGAAATCCAAATCATACTTTGTGCCTGCAGCAGTAAAATATTAAAATCAACAACAACCTAGTAGAATCCCACAAAAGCAGGGTCTAGGGAGGGTGTGTGTACGCACACTGTACCCCCACTAAAAGTAGAGAGGCTGTTTCCAAGAAAATATTAAAATCAACTGTATGTAAAAAAGGGCTAAATAAAATATAGAACAAGCAGAGCACTAAAACATTACCCATGCAAAATTCGGTTGCAGCTGCATCAATAGCAATTTTGATTTCCTCGTTGTATCCTGTTCTGCCTATGGCCTCCTGAATAAGGTCAAGGGCTTCTTCAAAGCTGCAAATACAATTTACCAAGAATCAACAACTTGTTGAGAACACCATCTTGATATGTGGACTCAGAACTTGCCTCGATATGTTTGGAGCCAACCCACCATCTTCACCAACATTACATCCATGTGCACCATATTTCTCTGATATAACAGCCTGCCCTTTAAAATAACCAAAGGTGATTTCAATAACTAGCAACCATACATTGACAATAGAGAGGCAGAAAGTCTCAAGGCATATCATCCTCTAAACCTCCAATATGTCAAAGTAAAGAAAATGATATTTAGTTGGATAAACCTCCATCTCAAAATAAACTTCATGGTTTGATTTCACGGAGTTTAAGAAAAATGTTGAGAAGTAAAAAGTGTATGGTTAAAATTTGTTTAGAAAAAAGATAAAGAATGTGAGCTCACATTCTTTTCCTAAAAAGGAAATAAAGAAAGTGTGAAGTTTATTTTAGGATGGAGCAAGTCTAATATGGAGTATACTATAAACTCATACAGTTTAGGACTAAGTTGAGGGGATGCTTCTATCACGCACCCTGTGTGCACAGAACATGCCACAAACCCTTTCACATGCATTGACTAACTCCTATTTCACTATTAAAGAAGAGCAGACAGTTTAAAGAAGTGCAGCCAGTTCAAAGAGCCACAAACCTTTTTACATGAACAAAGTAATAAAAAATTTAAAAAGTTCTAACGAATGCTTGTTCATTTTTATCAATTTGTGCGTGCAAGAAAGTCCTTGCTTCTTAGGTGCACCTAAGGTGCTCATAAGAATTAGTCAAGTTGGTGTCATTAAACTACGTTATAAACCACTTGTCAAACAATCTTGAGAGATTAAACTCAATCTATTAGCAACTTCAACTTGAAATCTTAAAAAACTGTGATTTTCTCTGTAAAATTTTGTTGTGGGGCTCTGTTAAGAGTTAACAATTCCACTCAAATTGACAACGAGTTTATTTTGAAGCTAAGTGGTTGGTGCATGCAAATGGATTCCCCTCCCCTTGAAGTAAAGGGTTCGAGACTCAATGACAAAATCTAAAGGATCAGGGGCACTGCAATTAGACAAGCAGTTGAGTCAATTGGGCCAGATGACACTAGGAATGAACTTCTAGACGAACATTGAGAATAAGGACTCACGGGCCGTTGAGGGTAGACTTTCGGATGGATAACCAGATACACGTGAGCCAAAATATGCTCTGATACCACAATAGAATTTAGGGTTGAATTGGAGCTACTAACTGTGTCATAACACAATTGGGTCAGACAAGACGAAAAGATTGAATCTGATCAATCAACTAATTTAATTCAAAATCTTATTAACCTATTATTTTCTTTTAAATAATTCGGTGCGAGACCCTCTTACCGATTAACATGAACCAAACAAAGCAATTAGGATGAGTACCAGACTTTTATTAATATCTTAAATATAATCATGAAAAGTATTGAATCCATAAACAACATATAAGAGCAATTCATGAGTGCCAAAATGTCATCAATTTACAAGTAGAACTTATAGCAATGTAGCTTTTTTATTAATTTGAATCAGGTCACGTAATAGATAAAATAGGTATGGCTGCCACCTACAAGGTAATTATTACATCTTGCAAGTTGCAAAATGGAGAATGACAAATTTCAGAGCATGTACAGATCAAGATATATAAATGGCCTCAGAAGCATATCAAATGCAAAGATCCCACGTTGTGTTATTTACTCTGATAAAATCACCTTCAAATGATGATAGGTTTCAGAGCCCATTTGCAATGCCTCCTCAAATCTTGTTGCTCCCACTGGGAGAATCATGATTCCCTGAAGCATATTGTGATAATCGGATAAGTTTCAATGATACAAACACAATATTTAGCAATGAGTTATGGTGTTCATCTAAAGATGAGTAAAGCTTTGAAAAAAGGTGAGTAATCGAAAAATATGTTGGAAAATCATTCAACTGATAAGGAGGGGGTGGGGTGGGGGAGAAACACCTACCTGTATTGCAAAACTGTTTCCTGCATGCTTTCCACCACTTATGAGAGTGAAGGCGGGGACAGGAATAAGCAAGTCTGTCTTTCCAGAAAGATCAGCAATGTGCTTGTAAAGTGGGACCTGAGCATAATGTTAAGTTAACTACAAAGTACTTCGTTTACTTCGAAGGGGAAAATTGATTGAAATGGCAATCTAACAGGTGCTTGCCTCTTTTTCAGCAGCTCCAGCTTTGCAAGCAGCCATAGATACAGCTAAAATGGCATTTGCACCAAGTTCACCCTAAATTTATGTACAGAGCATAAAGACTAGCATCAAAATTTGAATCAGATGCAATCATTTCCTCTTACAACTTTAAAGATTGTAAAAGGGAAATATTTCTGAGGGGTTCAAATTACCTTCTTTTCTGTCTTGTCCAAATCTATCATGGCCTGGTCAATTTGAGACTGAAGTGTTGGATCCATGCCGATCAAAGCTTCAGATATTTTTTCATTGATATTCTTAACTGCTCTACTTACACCATTCCCAAGATATGTCCCTTTGTCTGCATCACGCAACTCGGTAGCCATAGCTTCGTACCTGGATTTGAGCAGTAAAATAACATTAGACTACATTGCTTCAGTGACAAAATCAAGAAGTAGCTTTTCCATGCATTGAAGTTCCGGCGGAGTAGATATAATCCACCGAGCCCATCACTGATTAGATACATACAAGGTCCATCCTACAATGACATGGATGTTAATCCTAAACATCTTTACCATTCTTCCTGCTGGTTCTCATCAAATCAAATAAAACCACAAATAAACAAAATTTGAAGTGGGTGGCTAATTAACTATGTTTCCAAAGCTCTAGGTTACACTACAGAAAAAACCAACCCTTAACCCAAATCACTTGGGTACGCTACATGAACCAAGAGGAGAATCACTTTCGGTCATTCGCAAAAATGCTCTCTCCATAACCACACTCTTGCCCATATTCAGATAAGAAAAATTACTCCTAATCCTCACTTGCACTTCAATGAAAATACTGAAGCGCACAGCCAATCAACTATTCTAACTATGAAACCTTCACGAACATCGGACCACTGGAACCAAAATTTAGAGAAAAAACTGAGCAACGCAGAAGACTTACATTCCCAATGAAGCACCACTGGGGGAAGAAGCACGAAACATGCCTTTATTTGTGTACAAATCAACTTCAACTGTAGGAATGCCTCTACTATCGAGAATTTGCCTCGCTTTCAGCTTGGTTATCACGGAAGGCACCGCCTTTCTCATGTGATTCGACTGCAACCAGCGACGCAATAACTAACCATCGCGACTGAAAAAAGCGTAATAAAGACGGCATTTGATCAACACAAGTGAAAAGGAAAGTAGAACATACGATGAAGAGGACGGGATCGATGGTCTTTGCCCGGACGGCGGCATTGACGGCGTCCTCGATTTTCCGGGAGAGCATGTGCTTGTCCAGATACTCTTGCACGGACATTTTCCCGAAGGAGGAGGGGGTTCTTGCAGAACTGGATAAGCTGAAGGTGAAATTGTGCAATGGTATGGAAGGGGACTGAAAGATTTTTCTCCTATTCCCTGATTTGTTTATTTGAGGTTGATGAATTGGGAAGGACAGGGTTCGATTCCGGATCTGCAGAGGTTTTTTTTTAATCTATACTATCTATACTAGGGGTGGGCATTCGGGTCCAGGAACCGCGGGTCGGAACCGAACCGCCAGGTTCGGGCCGAGTTAGATCCGGATCGTCTTTTCAAAAATTTAAAACGGTCTGGGTCGGTCCGGTTCCTATAGATTTTAGGATCAGTCTGGTTCCCCATTTTGAAATTGTTTAGGACCTGGACCGGACCGTTTTTTAAATACTAATATTATTTTTAATATTTTTTTAGTAAATATACGGTATACCCGCCTATTCCAATTAATTTTAGTAATTCTTTTGGTCCTTCCATATTCCAATCATAGTGCAGAACCACAGAAGTGAGAAAACAGAGAGTCTGAACTCTGAAAGCGATTCTCAGCCTTCACCTATTAACATTATAATGCCAAAATGTGGTTGTCTTCTTTTTGTTGTTGTTGTTGGATGATCATGGGGTGTACACGTTACTCTCATGCCCCTCTTTGTCATTGTTTTTTTTCATTTATTCCTCTTTTTTGAACTTTGAAGGCATTATTCTATAATTTTTATTTGTTTTGAAGAATGTTAGTATTATGATAGGTTCGGACCCGTTGACCCGTGGAATCGGCCTGTTTCAAACAAGCCGGGTTAGGTCCGGTTCCAATTTTAAAATTTTGAAAACCCGTTCCGGCCCGGACCGTTTTAATAAAAACAAGGCGAGTCCGATTTATATAAATTTGGACTCGGACCGGCCCGTGCCCACCCCTAATCTATACTAGCAAAAGAAGTGGGAGTGAAAAACAAAATTTGAATTTTTTTAGAGCAATGCTAGGGGTACACCTTTGGTGTACCCCATTTGTCCCCCACTCTCTTATCCACCACACATATTTATTTGATTTTTAATTATTTATTTATTTTTAAATTTTTTGCCTATTTATGTGGTGGTGGAGGGGGTGGGGGACAAATGGGGTACACCTTTAGTGTACCCCTAGCATTTTTCTTTTTTTTAATCTATACCATCCATTTGAGGCTATTGTTTTCTTCTTAAAATTAAACATGATAGTGATTGAATTTGTATGATACTTTAATTTGCTTATTTGCTTTACAGCATCTTTATTCATATAATATATTGTATGTGTCTATTAGAAATTGTGGTGCAAGAAATATATAGACACATTAAGAATTTAGCTGGTGCTACTTTAAATTTCTTCGATGACTCCTCTTTTCACTGCATGAAATAAACTAATATATACCTATACTATAAAGAGATAGTATATACTTTCCTTTTTTAATTTTTCAACAAAGAATCAATGTCCCAAATATTGCCCAAATGTTTGTGATGGATTCGGGTAGTATGAACTACAACAAAAAGCTTATAATATGACTTAATTAACTTTGAATCCATCATTTCCTCGTGCTGAAGGAGGAGGTCTATTTATACACCCAGTTTTGGGCCAGTACCCATTCTTCCCTAGTCAACGAGGCCCATGGGCCTCTTAATTACATTTTTCTCATTTCCTCCGATACATCACTTTCTCCCTAACTACTTTTGACCGCACCTAGCGATGGGTCGCCTAGTGATGACGCCCCCAGCTCTGGTCATTGGCGCCCGTGGTTCCCTAGGGGTTGACTTAATCCGTGCTTGAGATGTCGAGGGGGGCCTTAGCACGAGCTCGATGGTCGTACGGATGAGACAAGGTCCCAAGACATGTTCAACCTCGTCTAACTCAGGCCAAGGGGGCCTAACTAGACCCAGCGTAATGTATGGCCAAGCTCACCCTTACGGGCCTTTAGGGTGTAGGCTCATATCCCTACCGAGGCCGTGCTTATTCCCTATGGGCGGGCATAGGGGACGAGCCCACATCTCCATCATTTTGGTGGATTAAATATTGAGATGTGTCTAAACATTAAACTCTTGTTCTTTTGTGTTGGAAAATTAATTTCTAATTTATTCTATTCCGTAACTATTTCCAGTATCTTTCATCTCTTTCGAAAAACGATTTAAAAAATATTTATATGATAAATATACAATATTATTATATCTCTAAATTTATAACGTACTACCTCAAACATGGATAAGAATAAATTATTATTTTTTTATCTAAAATTAGAATTTTTTAAAATATTTATTTATATGATCATTTAATTACCAAAAAATCTTTATAAATGGAGAATTGGAAAAAATCAGACAGAGAGTAACATAAGCTTCTTAAGGACAAATTGTTTGAGAATACATTAGTTAATCACTAAGATATGTGTTTGAGGGGGAAGTTGTGAGGCAAAACTACGATGGCCGCAACAACCGTGTCCATTTCCCTCTTTTCTGTTTCCATATGTTTTGGGCCACAAAAAGAGAAACCACAAGATTGTATATCATCATAACATCTTCATAGGTCACAACAGCACCAACAACAATAACATAGAATAATAAATCTCAGTGGCCGGAGTACCCAAAGATAGGGGTGTAAACATATGTTAATCAGACCGAATGTGTTATTATTAAATCTACATTCGTTTATTTTTATCGTATATCGAATTCGACTACATATCTTGACGGATGCTAACAATCAAAATTGGATCCACATCTGTTTGATATCGGTCGGATATTAGATATATCTATATATGTTTCTAAATTTTCAAAGTCAAACTAAATTATAAATAGAGTAGTATATACATAATAACGTAATATATACATTCAATTATAATTTGTTATGAAGTAGTATGTTTCTTAATTTTTTGTAATCTATATGGTAAAAAGTATTGCGTACTACACATACATATGGATTTGTGCGTTTACACATATATTTTAGAATTTCAGACGTTAATAGAAAAAGAAAACATAAAAAATAAAAATTTGAGAAAAAATATGGATAACAGATCGGATAGATGAATAAACAGTTACTTAAATGGATGTATATGTGGTAGCACATTGTAAATGTATCAGATGTATGATTCCCAAATCTATATCCGTTTACCAACCGGATGTCCTTGATCAGATAAAGATAATAACTACTTTGTATGGATGCATTTAGTTTTTGCGTGAACGAATACAAATGTGGATAGTAATAGAATTTTCAATTATCCATTTATGGGCCTCCGCAGAGAGATTGAATGCTTTGTTTATTGGGTTTTTTAAAACAATTTTTTTATAACTCACTACAATTTTTTTTTTGTTTTTTAAACTTTTTTCATGATTGACACATTGAATTGCCTTTCAATAGTCCAATATTCTTTTTCGAAAAACAACATTACAAAATTTGTGTTTTTTTCCAATAATGCTCTAATATTTTTAATTTTTAAAACAACATTACAAAGGCTATGAAAATGACACAATAGTTTTTCTCCAAATGAAACTAATTTTTTATAACTCACTTTATTTTTAAGTAGCATTCTGAATTGTTTTTCCATAATCCACTATTGTATTATTATTATCATTATTATTATTATATTCAAATGTACTACAAAATATGTGAATTTTTTTATCTATTAAATACAAATATTTTTTCAAAATAACATTAAAAATTATGAAAATGGTACAACAATTTATTTCTCCAAAATGACACTAATATTTTATATAGTTTGCTAAAGTTTGTTTGTATGGAAAATTATTTTATAGAGGGGTACTCCAAACTGTTTTTCGATATTCTACTATAACTTAACATATTCCCAAAATAAAAACACAAATTTTTGAACCATTATATTTTTAAAAGAAAGAAAAATCTATAACTAGACTATACTATGGAATCTATTAAGTGACAGTTAGCTTCTTAATAGCCACCCAAAACTTACGCACATGTGAAAAGTTGAGATTATTATGCGCGACGATGAAAAGTGGACTAATTTTTAAAAAATTACGATAATGTGGATTATTTCAGATAAACTTTCATTTTAAATTTTTTATATCCTATATATTGTATTCTTTTTCAATATTGAAATCTTTAAATAATTGATGTTGAAATATTTTGGCAGTGCACCGAACGAGTATGATTCTAATTACTTGTAATCTACTTGTAAAATAAAAATAATTGAGAGAGTGCACGAATCTATATGAATCTTCGTGTACAGTCGAATGAAAAAATTTATATCGTACGTCTAGCTGTATGGGTCTTCCTGTACAATTGAAAGTCATGCCTGCATTTGTGGTGATCACCGAATGTAGAGCACAAAGGTTGAAATCCTAGCTGTGAATCTGATGCACAGAGTGGAAAATTGCGCGAGTTGGCTAGGCAGTCCTCTTTGACAAAAAGAAAAAGAGTCGTAGTGAATAAGGGGCTGCGTAGTGGTCGGCGGTGATGATTCGCTATCGCGGCACAATAGTGGTTGAGCTGACAGTGACGTCGTGGTATGAGGATAAAGAGGATGAAAATGATGTAGGAGCAAGGAGTCGAGCATGGTAGACTCATGTAAATGATATGATTCAGAAAAATGTTTCACACGCTAAAGAAATGAATGAAAAGGTATAAAGAGATAAGTATACTTATTTTCATTGAACATGACGAGAGACATTAATTTCATCGGAGACCGAACAAAAACTTTTACAACTTTTGGAGTGGGTGATTATTATTGAGAAAAACATATAGCATTGGTGAAGTTGTTTGTAGTTTGTGGGAGATGTGAAGAGGTAGCTATATACTCTGTATATGCTTGACATATGAATGCCCGTAAGACAGCATAGCTAAGAGACACGTGATAAAGTCTTTCAAAAAAGGTATATTAAATATTGTTTTAGTAGGCATACAGTAAATAAAGTAAACTGCAATGACAATAGCTTCTATCCAATAATGCTTGCACGGTGAGACTAATAAAATAAGGTGTTAAATGCTTCAACAAAGTGACAATGATTGTGTTTCGTTGTGTCATTACCAAGGACATTATTTAAAAATTCTCTGTCGTTATCATTGTAGATAATTTTAGAAAAGTATTTGTGTTGGAATAGATCTTAACCATTTTCTCAAAGCGTATAAAACAGAATATCTAGTCCTTATATTTTTTATTAATCAAACAAAGCCATTTATATTTACTAAACTAAAGAAAAGTATGAAGTTTAAGTGATACTTTTGAACATTTTAGAGAATTCAATAACATGATTGAAATGAAAAAAAAAGAAAGTTAATTTTTTGACAAAAAAATAATATTTGAGTGACACTTTTAAATACTTTAAAAAGTATAATTACATACTACGTAGTACATTATTGGAAGAAAAGATTAGTACTTTGTACTACGGCCCTTTTTTTAGTTGGAAAAATTAACCTTCAACTTCTTCCAACTCCTTTCAGTTTCTTTTAACTAATTTGAGTTTATTCCAATGACTTAAAAAAGTGTTTATATATGATTAATATAAGGTAATAATATATATCCAAATTTATAACATATCACAAAAATACAGAAAAATGATGAATTTTTATTTATCTAAAATTAAAATTTTCTAACATTTTTATTTAGAAAATTATTTAATTGAGTGACTTTTTAATACTTAAATTCTTCTAACATTTTTCAATTCTTTCCAATTATTTCTAACCCGTTCAAATTTCTCTCAACTCCTTCTAGCTTCTTCCAAAATTCAATAATGGTTTGTTTGGGAACATGGATTTGGATTTCAAATCTGGATTTGACTCAAATTACATGTTTGGAAACTTAAATATTTTGAACTTGGATTTGAGTCAAATTCTTCTCATTCATAACAAAGCTTAATTTGAAATTCATGCACCTCCCATTGTTATTTGAAATTCAAGATTTCAAATTTGAAATTGAAATGCATGAATTGAAATGAAATGCTAGTTCCCAAACACTAAAATCCTAACCTAAAAGAATAGGGCCTATGTACCAAGTACTTGGTCCGTCCCTGAGTGTTTGTCCACTTTTGACTTTTGGAACTGTTCATCTAAGCACTTTGACTCATCAAATTCTCTCAATGTGTAAGGCTAAAAATAATCATGTGTGATTTTGTTTGATTCGTCTTAAAATATAGATAATTAATATATACTTTTTATAATTTTTTAGTATACAAATTACAAGATAAAATGGATTAAAGAAGTGCATTGCATGATGTGCAAAAATGAAAGTGAATAAACACTTAGGGACGGAGGGAGTAGCTTTTTTGACAAAAATGAATATAGTAGTGATGTTCTTTCTCGACCATAAATCCGTAGGCAAACGGCAAACACAGCCTTCCCACTTATTTTACCAGTCCCGTCTTCTTTCACTCTTCCAGTTCTCCCCGAAATTCGCTGGCAGGGCTTCATCGACACCAAAAACCCTAGTAATATCTTACTGCTGATCATGTTTTTCAATTCTCGTGCTTCTCTGTGAATTCTTCGATCAATCTCTGGAACTGTACGGTCCAAAAAATATTATTCTTTTTGCTCGTGGGCAAATCTGCAACCCTAATTAGAATTCTTGATTAGCAATTGTTTCAATGTTTTTTAGCTGTACCGATATTCTGAGTTTTCTTGATTTTGTTAAATGAATAATTAATTTTTCTTGTTACTGATGACCACTACCATTGCATTTAAAAGGTAGCAATGGTAGAAATTGTCTGTTTATGCTGTAGTTAACTAGTCATTGTTAGGCCTAGCTCGTAGTCTAAGGTTGTGAGACTTGTGACATTATTTTCCCACTAACTCTAAACTAAAGAAGCTTCAAGAATTTCAGGCCAAAGCATTTTTCTTGGTTCTATAGAATGTAAAACTGCCACTAGTCAAATAGCTATCATTTGAAATCATCTCATAGCTACTCAGATGCATTTTATTAGTTATAACGTGGTCGTGATGAATTTTCATTTCAGGTTCTAGCCACTTTAAGTTTTCCTGCACAGTTGTATGTGCCTTGGCCCTTGAGAACCGATAACATACCTCTGAGTTGATATGGGTTTTGATATTGAGTGCATAATTGACATCCACACTTATCCTGGAGAGTATTTCTGTCCAGTTTGCCGTACTCTCGTATACCCAAATGAAGCACTCCAATCACAATGCACTCATCTCTATTGCAAAGCTTGTTTGGCACATGTTTCTAATGGGGACAAGGCATGTCCATATGATGGGTATTTAGTTCTCGAAGCACATTCCAAGGTTAGGTTATGCGGCTATAATCATCTTCTATTTATAGTGACTCATGCATTTGTTCCCCTTAGACATACTGAGATATTTCCTTATCATGGCAGCCTCTCATTGAAACAAACAAGGTTCTTGCCGAGAATATAGGAAAAGTCAAAGTGCGCTGTCTGTTTCATAAAAGCGGATGTACATGGGAGGGAATTTTATCTGAATGTACCTCACATTCTTCTGGTTGTGCTTTTGGGAATTCCCCAGTTATATGCAACAGATGTGGAGTGCAAATTGTGCATCGGCAAGTGCATGAGCATGCACAGAGCTGTCCTGTGAGTGCAGTAATGACTATTATTTTTTTTCTTTGGCACCTTAGAACATTTAAATGTCTACTTTCTTCAAATTCAGCTTCCATGGTACTCTAGAAATTTAAAGTGCTTTCAGTTCTTTTCTTCTCAATCCTCATTTCACCTCTCCATGACTTGACTAAAGAGAATAAGGGCTCTAATTATTTCTAAGAAACTCTTTTCACCCATCCATCATCTTCTCAACGGCTCAACGAATAAAGAGAATGATGCACTAAAATCTTCATTCTTTCTTAGGGCACCTTATAAATTCTCTTTTTCATATGCCTGCTTAATTTAACAAAAAAAGGTTAGTCATCCTTATTATATTCTATAATTAAAAATGCAGGGTGTATATCCATCACAGCAGGTTGCAGAAGTTAATTCTGTCTCTCAATCAGGAGCACCAGCTACACCTGCAACTACTGCTGCTGCCGGTGTTGACCCAAATAAACAAGCTGCTCAACCTATATCATCAGCTTCTCAGGTTCAGAATCCACAGGTTAATGCTGCTCCTGTGGTTCCTGGGCAAGATCTCAACCAGCAAGCTAATGTCAATTCCCAGGCTCCACTTGCTGTGGCAACTTCTGAACAATGGTACCAACAACAGTATCAGCAATACTATCAGCAGTATGCTGGATATGACCCTTACCAGCAATCTTATCAACAGTACTATCCCTACCAACAACAAGGTGTGCAACAATATCAGCAATACCCATCACATGCTCAAGGGCAAACCCAGCCTCAAGTGTATACCCAACCTCAGCCCCAGGCTCAACCACAATCTTTTCCCCAGGTGCAACCTCAACCAACTGCCCAATCTCAGCCTCAAGCCCTGGCTCAACCACAAGTGCAAGTGCAACCCCATCTACCCATTCAACCCTCAACAACACAACATCAGAACCAAAATCAAACCAACCAACAACAATTACTTCAGCCTCATGTACAATCACATGCACAAGTTCTACCGCATTCTTATCCACCCTCTCTAGGTCAGCCACCTCAGACCTACCCAGTGCAGCCACATCCACAAGGACTGCAACACGTGCAGGTCCCTCCTTACCAACAGCCTTCTGCACAAATGCCTAATGCACAGCCTCCTCTGGCCTTACCACATCAAAATTCACACCTTCAACCACAACCTAGTGTGCACCCTCCTCAGCCTAGCCAGCCTGTTGTTCCCATTGCCCAGCATCAGAACCCACTTCAAGCACCTCATGCACTCACAGGGCACCAATCCTACCCACAAATTCAACACCAAACCCCTGTGGGATCTGTGGCAAGTGGGTCTTTCCCTTCTGTCCACACCCAAAATCAGGCTATGCAGCAACAGCCTATGATGCGCCCTCCGCCGGCTCCTAGTTCAAATCAACAACATGGTATGCTGCCTCCTCAAGGTCAATTCGTTTCTCACCAATCCCTGCATCACTCCAACAGTCAATATCCAAGCCTTCCAGTTCAATCACATCTTCCTCAGGCAACACAACAACCGGTGTCTCAGCAGTATCCACAGCACCCATTTTCTGGTCCATATCCAAGTCAGTCACAGCAGCACGGTCCATCCTTGCAACAACAACCGTCTCACATACATCATTCAGGTCCTCAGCATATGGCACTTCAAACTTCTCATGCCCCTGTCCAGTCACATCCAAATGCCGCCTTAGGTCCCGGTCCCGTTCCTGGTATGAATCCTCAACCGCCTCAAAATTATTTTGGAAGAGCAGTGCCTCTTGCACCTAGCGGATCTGGTGCTGCACCTCCAGTTCTTACTGTGCCGCATGGCTTAAACCAATTGCAAGTTTCCATAGATCAAAAGAAATCTGTAGCACTCGAGGGGCAAGTTGTTCCCTCATCTGCAAAGCCTGAACACACTGCAGAAGCCACAATAATATCCCGAAACAATGCTGACAAGGATTCCAGTGTTATTGGAACTGAATCCTTTGAAACTAAGGCTGCAAAACTGGAAACAGGCCCTGGCAGCGAACAAGGTTCCATGAAGGAGTGCGCTAAAAGTGATCAAGCTGATAAAGGAAATTCTAATGACCCTGTACTGATGCAAACTGTTAAGGAAGAACGTAGTGAGAATGCTTTGGCGCAGTCATCTGGTGCAAAATCAGCTGATACTGAAGGCGTGATAGAGAGAGCCTCATCTGGTAGAGTGCCTGATCATTTTCATCAACATAGAAGTTTTGAAGTACAGTCCAACACTTCTAAGGGATTCCCTTCAAGTGCTTTACCTTTTGGCTCAGTTGGAATTCGAGATGGTATGGGAGGAGCACAACCATCTGGACCTGAAGGTCACTTTGTTCCACATCATGCCCCTGTAAATGTTTCTGAAAATCACTTTGGGCAGCAGCATCCTGCTAATAGGTTGGAAGCTGAAATGTTTCATAAAAGAAGAATGAGTGGCTTTGATAGAGGCCTTCCGCATCACAAGGAATCTTCTCATGGTGAGAGGTTGAAAATGTCAGTTCCGGATCACTCGGGAACTTTGTCAGCAGAACCTCATTGGCCACATGATCAAGGTGAAATTGGAAGGAGCTTTTGTTTTACTCCGTATTTTACTTTTTATTAACTGTATTTGTTGATCTCGACGGGCACTAAATTTCTGGTACATTAATTCTCTTTTCTTTGCCATTGTAGCTGGACTGGGTCCATTTGACAAAGGGCCGGGTGGCTTTGGCTATGATGGTAATGCTGTTGCACCATCAAGGTTATTACCCTCATATCGCCCTCCTGGTGCTCCGTACATTAATGATGGTGCAGAGAGAGTAGTTCGACATAGTCTTCTTAATGGAGAGAGAAGAAATGCTGATTTTCAACATAGGCATACCGATTTTCCGGGACCAGGATTTGGTCGTGGGCACATGGATCACTTTGCTCCTAGAAGTCCTCCTAGAGAGTATTTTGGCATGCCGCCCCGTGGGTATCTTCCTCATGGTCATGCCGGTTTTGATGATATGGATGGCAGAGGACCACATATGTTTCCCGGAGGGTCTAGACCTTTCAGACATCCTTCTAATCCAGTCAGGGACTCATTTCCCGATGACAGGTTCCTTCCTCTGCATCGTCACCCACGGGGAGACTTGGTTGATGATCATATTCGAGCTGGTCATCCACACAACTTCAGAGGTGAAGTATTTGGGAATGATCTACCTAATCATTTAAGAGGGGCTGATCCTTTGGGGCGCCGCAATATGCATGCTGGAGAGCCTGTTGGTTTTGGTCCATTTGCAGGGCCTGGAAGTTTGCCTCGTATACCTTTTGGTGAATCATTTGGAGGAAACAAGACAGCTTTTCCACGACCTGGGGAGCCTGGTTTTAGGAGCAGATATTCCCTACAAGGAGTCTCTAATGAACGAACACATATGGAAAGTTTCGTCATCTTCTGATTCTTTGCATTTTTTTCTCTTTTTTTTCATTCCACTGATTTTTTTTCTTTAATTTATCAAATTGGGAGTTGGAGAATCATGTAATGCCGCTAAATGCTTGTTAAATCTTGCAGGGTGATGGTGAGCCCTTTGAAAGATCAAGGAATATGATTTCTTTGAGCATGGGCTGGTGCCGCATTTGCAAGGTTGATTGTGAAACCGTGGATGGCCTGGATATGCATTCACAAACAAGAGAGCACCAAAATATGGCTATGGATATGGTTAGAAGTATCAAGGAGCAAAACAAAAAGAGACAAAAGTGAGTAATATTGCTATTCATAACTCTGACAAGTTTTGCAGCAGAAAATATGCAAACATTTAATTTTGCAGGAGTCATGCAGCAGTTGAAGATGGAGGGAAGATAAAAAATGATGCTTCTGAGGGCGTTGCTATCAAACCTTGAATCTAACGGCTTGTTGCAAGGATTTTAAGGTAGTGGACATGTGGTTGCTTCTCTTATGTATTTGAGCTTTGTTTTTCTATGGCTATCTCTCATCACTGAGGTCTTTTATCTTAGTTTTCATTTCAGGTTGCTGCCCTCTCTCAGGCTTTCAGGAGACGGTGTTGGAAAATTGGAAGTCAAGTCCTGTGGCAGTTAAGTTTGTCTTGTTTACAGCTTTGAGATCCTTTCTTATGTTGGGCAAATTTTGGCAGTTTATTAATGATGACTAGTTAAGCTGTACTGCCCTTTTGCTGATGGGATTCGAGATCATATTATGAGACAATGTGTTTATTTTATATAAGTTTTTCTAGATGAATTTTGAAGAGTGAAAATTACTGTGCTACAGCCAAGCTGGTCGTATTTGCGGACCAATGTACCCTATTGGTCTATTCACAAAAGGAGATGGGAAAAAGTTTAGTTGGATGCCAAAGTAAGACAGTATGTGGACTATATGTGGAGTAGCCTAATAGGTTGCGGAGGTGAGTTTTGTGATATAATTAAAAGACAAGATAGTACACAAAATTACCTAAAATGCTGAACTGAACAATTTACCCATCGTCCGCACTCAGGAAGACATGGTAGTCAAACTCTAGATTCTACGTAGGATCGATAAGCATAATGAAGATCGTAACATCGTAAGATCGTGACTCGGATCGTAAGATCCTACTATATATATGTGTATATATATATATATATATATATATAAATCTTTGCTTCTAATCAATATAAATTCTGTATTTATAATATATATATATATATATATATATATATATATATATATATATATATTATAAATACGGAATTTATATTGATAAGAAGCAAAGATTAATATATATATATATATATATAATGTTTTAAACTTTTAATTAAATTTTAATAAAACATAACATAAGTTCAAATTGGATCACAAATGACTTAAAACTTTATTCTTAGCAAGTGAAAAAAAACTGAAGGAAGGTTGATAAGCAGAGAGGTCTCGATTCCCAAATAAATAGAAGAATACTCTGTTTCCGATCAAAACAAAGGGAGATACGTAAAGGGAGAAACTAAGCTGCTTTCCTATTGAAATAAATAAATAGAAGAAGAAGATACGGTGCTTTCCTATTGAAATTGGGAATAAATAAAGGGAGATACTCTGTTTCCGATCGGAATTGCGAGTCGGAACATATGCGACTTTCCAATTGCAATTCTAGACGCGATTGGAAGGAGATTTTGAAGAGACGCTGTTTGGGCTTCGCAGACTCGGCGATTGAACCCGATCCTGCGTTTCTGCGAGTCGAATCGTCGATCCAGACAATTCCATGGAATTTGCGATTTTGCAGCCGTCTTGGATCGGTAAGGTATCGGCGATCCTCAGAATCGTTGACTCGTACGAGTCAACTCGCGAGTTTGACTACCATGCAGGAAGAGCTAGGATATTGAGTAGGATGTCTAGAAAAAGCATACAAGCATAGTTATGAATGGCGTTCGCCATGCTCGCCTGTGGCGCTTATGGCGCTGTGGCGAGGCTAAAACGCCTGGTTTGGGCTGTGCATGGCGTTATTCTTGAGGCGATGAAAGGCGGTCGCCATTCTTGCTGCGTCCTATGGCGTCTGGCGAGCGCTTATGTCGCCATTCAGATCTGTTCGAATGGCTTAATTAAATTGGGCTTAAGCCCGTTTGGAATTAAATGATTTGATCCATTACCTTAAGTCGGTTCATCAATTACCTTAATCGATCTTATCCCCTTCCAATCTTCCGTCTTTCATCGCCGATCCTCTCCTCCCAATTCCCAGTCAAAATCGATTCTGCTCCCTCTCTCTGAAGTCGACTCTGCTCCTTCTCTCTGAAGTAGCAACTTCGACTCTGCTCCCTGGGATTCACCTTGGTCAACTAGCAGCAGATTCAGGTCAGGATATTTTTTATTTTTTTAGTTTGTGTTATATTCAGTTAATAAATATTAATAGTTACAATTCTTTTAGTCTAATAGTTACCATTATATATTCAATTTGTGAATTATTCTTTCAATTTAGAAAAATACTGATTTTTTTCTTTTAAAATATTAATATTATTTATTGTGTATTTTCATTTAATAGATATTAATTGTATTTAAAAATTATATATATATATATATAATTATATATATATTCGCTTTTTTGGTTTGCCATTTGACCGCCCGCCACTCGCCACGCCACTCGCCACAAAAAACAGTCGCTCGCCCGCCACTCGCCACTCGCCATTCATAACTATGCATACAAGAGAACCACACTTGTTAGGAATCAACTGCCTAAGCTACTATCCAACTCTTTAAATTTGTAGTTGCCATTCCCCTGTTTAATGTTAGATGTGAATGCTATAAAACACTCTGAATGCAGTAAAAACACATTTTGATATCTTTATAATCTCCACATGTTTTGATTAGGAAAAGTGATTGCTCTAAGACCTGATTTTACTTGCATATTCCATTGGTTGCTGGTTACTAAGTTTTAGAACAAAGTCATTTCATCATCATAGTTAATAGTGTACTCCCTCTGTTCCACAGAGTTAGTTTAGGACAAAGGAATGTGACTTGCAAATCAAGTAAAATTTGTATTATGAGGTTGATATTGAATTAATGAAGTGCAGAAAATTGTGAACCACATTAATATGATCAAACATGGTATGAGGCAAACAGTTTAGGACAGACCAAAATAGAAATGGGACAAACATCGTGGTAGGGAGTACTTTCTATCTCCACCAATTTTAGTTCCTGGGTGGGTTTGGACTTGCAGGTTAGGTGTGGATTAGTTGTTTATGTATTTTTGCAATAGTTGTTTATGTTTTTCCTTAGAAAACTGCAAAAGGTAAGTGGGCACATTCCCGCTACAAGCACTTCAGTTCGGAAATGTTGTGTGTTTGATTTTATTCTTTTATTTTTAGATTTTATAATATTTCATAACATCTGTGTACAAAAGTATGTCTCATTCCACACCTTTGGATAGGATAATGATTTTTTGGTAACTGGTACAACATCTCGAGTTGTAAGATTTTGGAAAACAACCAAGAGAAATAAGGCTTTTTAAAACCTTGGTAGGAATTAGGATATTCTTCAAAACAGTTATTTAGGTAAGTTACTGATAGAACTAGTGGAAGATATGAATGTATTTTTAGATGTTGGCTCAAGATGTATGTGTGAGAACGTGAGATAATGTAGTTTAAGTTATTGCATGATGATTGCATGTTCCCATTGAAGGAAGATTCTGTGCTTTTACTATATTTCCGTTATTACCTGGATACAGGATTGACTGATCCCATACATGATACATCTTGATCATCCACCTCCCCAATAGATTGTGACATTAGAACTTCAAAGGCTTGATTGGTTCAGTCTTTGTATCCTTCGCCTTGGTAGCTTTTGGGTCTTACTGTTAAATTAATACCTTGACTATTCCACTATATGTGGAGTCCACATTAGTGTCTAATAACTTAAAATTGCACATAAGTAGTATAAACAAGTTGAAATTTTTAACACATGGAATGTGAATCATGCAGTTAAGTCCAACTTGTAACAATTTTTAAGCGTATGCTTGTATTTTAATATTTTATAGCATAGTAGGTGTTTTTGGCACAGAATAATGAATTGTAAATGACTACTAGAAATTCTTTCATAGGGCTGCTTCACGTTGCTCCCCCCATGGATTTTTTTATAAATCTCATGCCACCAACTCATTCATATCTGCAATTTAGATGATGAGCATGGTGGCAGTTAGAAAAACGAATCAAATCATGGATTAATACCAAGAATGAAGAAAACCAATTACTGATATTGCTAATGGCCAACCAAAGTATGTTGAGCTTTTCCAAATGCTGGTTTATCATCACATAATTGGTAAAGAGGAGCAACTTGGAGCACATGTACTTGAATGGAGCTGACAGAAGCGTTTTTCGTGGAATTTCTCAAGAGATAAATTGTTTTTGCAAACGATGTTTGATTCAAAAGCTCTATTACCACTATATCAATTACTCCTGTCTCATAAAAAGGTTCCACGTTTTCTTTTTCGTCCGTCCCAAAAAAAGTTTTCACTTTTCACCTTTGAATATTTTTTGTGATCAACTCTCTGCATAGTTTCGCTCTCCTTTGCACCAATTTCAACTACCCAATTTTAGTTTTCTTTTAATCCTCGTGCCAAATCAGATGTGGAATCTTTTTACGGGACAGTTACAATCTTATCTCTTCTTATTAAGATGAATTGTTTGTTTTAACTTTTATTTAATAATAATAATAATTCCTTTAAAAATAATAATTATTTTTATTTTTATTATTTTACTTTTTATTATTTTTTTGAATTTTAATTTACTTATTATTTATCCTCACAATGCTTAATAAAACATTTTAAAATGAATGTTAAGATTGTCAAAATACATAACCAAACCGACAAAGTTATTACATTGTAATTATGGTGCAATTACACTAATTACAAAATGGTCCATGCAATTGTGGAATCATGTAATTGCATGTATGGCACTCTCATATTCAAACACACTTGTAAGAAAATCATTGATGTTGTGTGTATTTAGTGTCCGTTTGGCAACAACTTCAGCATTCTAAAAAGACTATCTAACAGTAGCATCTAGCTTTGGTGCATTCAAAGTTAATCAATAATCCAAAACGCCAATTGAAAATGTTGTTCCTAGACAAAGCCTTAGGCTTGTTTTTGGAATATTTTTAATCCATTCGAATTGGCTGGTAGAGTGAGTTAGGGCGTGTGTTATATAATAGGCTTACGCCTTGGCTTGGGTTATGAGAACTAGAGAATCCGAGATTCTGAATCAGATATTCTTAGGCTCAAACGTTAGTTAGCAAAGACATTTGCTATGAATCTTGTTCAAGCTTCCTACTACAGTAATCACTGAAAAGTTTATGTTCTTAGAATATGAAATTGGATGCTTTAGTACGACTCCTTTCACTTGCTTTCCACCCACATGAAAAGTAGTTCTTAGCCTCTTCTAATTTCTTTTCTTTGCATAAAATATACAATTATTCTCGGCTGTTGTTTTAAAGAAGATTTCCATTCTTCATCTCTCCTTAGTTTCTATATTTTTCAGGACTTTTAAGTTTTAAATCTCTTAACCCTTGATGCTTATTGTTGGTGTTATATGTTATGAAGTTAATACTTCTTTTGTGGCTGAAAATCTTTTATAATAGATCTTTTCGATTGAACCTGCCTTTTTTTGGGCGACGCTGAAAAGAGGAAGGATGCTTTCCACAGAGAAAACTGACATTTTTTGTTTGGTGGTAAGGGTATGTTTGAAGCACACTTTTATTCAACCGGTAACCTGCTGGTGATTTCTCATTTTATTGGACATAACCTGAAAATATGACTTACCTATTAAGAGGAATAACGGTAAAGTAATGAGTTGTTTAGATTTAGGGAGTCCTGCATCCAAATTCCAATGTCTTTCCTTTTAGATACATTTAAATCAAAGCATAGAAGTGTGTATTCTAGAGTTGGCTAATTAGGATCGTACAATGTATTGAGAGAAGCAGATCATACCTCATAGTTGATAGCTTTGAATCGTAGGTTAGGAAAAAATTTGGAACATGAATCTGCTGCTTGCAACATTTCAAGAACTTTATTTAGGCCCCGTTTGGTACACGGAATTCAAATTATGGAATTGAGGACATTAATTCCAATTCTGGTGTTTGGTAGCACAAAAATTATGTGGATTTAGAATTGATAGTGCAAAAATTGAATTGGAATTGGCAGAATTTAATTCTATGGAATTGAATCCCATGGAATTTCAATTCCAATTCAATTCCAATTCCATCAATTCCGCATACCAAACGGACCCTTAGGATAAACTCGACAGTGATTTTTTCAGTTTCTGAATATACCTTTGCAAACCTTAGGATCTTCTAACTGCGTAGTACTCCATAGTTTATAGAGTTATATCTATCATCGAAATACTGAGTACCAGATTGTATTTTGATACCTATAACAACTGGTGAGTGGAGATATACTCCCTCCGGCTCGCAATAGGGTTCTACAATTGACCAAGTTTAGGATAATGTTACTAATTCATGATCCTGTTGCATGTGAGCTTTCTAATTAGCTTCACCTATGTACATTTTTTTTTGAAAAGCACACAATGCAATCAAGTTATGGTAAGTACTATTTCCCATTTTATCTAAACCCTAGAGACTAGTCAAATAGGTGTGACATTGGTATGTTTTTCTGGCTCTTAGCCTCTTTTAGGTCTCTTTAGTCTCTTTTAGGTTTAGATTTGTCCGGAGAAATCCAAAAGAGGACTGATTTTTCGTTCACATATGACGGGATTTGGTCTTTGCAAGATTGATTAGTGATACGGTGCATACTTGGACGAAGTTTTTTTTAGTCTCGTGGCTACATTTTCACCACAAGGGTTGATTCATTTAGAAGTCTAGTAATTGCTTCGTTTGGACAAGGAGGAAAGTAGGGATGAAAAGAGTGTGAAAGTAAGAACTATGCTAGGAGAGAATTAAGTGAAAATGTGTGTAGATGCTTAAGGTGTAGACAAGAAGTGAGAAAGAAAATAGAATTGAGGAAGACTTGTGTTTTCTCTTCTTTAGGTCCTATTTTAAATTAAGAAAATAGGAGTATAATGCATCCATTTTAGTATGTCAAACTTATTGTAACAATGTTGGGGTTTATTTTCATAGGCTAGGAGCATAAATAGTGTTTGATCCATTTAGTAAGTAGGATTAGATGTGAGCCTTCTCACTTTACTAAGTTACTTACCCATGGCATATCACGAGGGTTGACTGAATTTATTTTTAATTCAATTTATTTCATTGTAGATGTAAACTTTAAAAAATAAAATTTATACTTTATAAAAATATATGAAAAGTTATAGTACAAAAGAAGAGGTGACACACATGATTGTTTTATATGGACTACTATGAAATGAGTAGTGAAAATAATTATTTAAAAAGCAAATGAGTTTGATCCCTTGAATAATGAATGAAAATTCATATCTTGAGTAGTAATAAAGGAAAGGGAAAAGGCCATTTTAGGAAAAAAGAAATTAGGTGAAGGCCCAGCCCTATAGTTATAATATGGCTTATGAACCTTCAAGATGTAAAACTTAATAAATTGATGACCGGGTGGCGCTCTTTACCCAAATTTAAGTAATTTTTTGTTTAATTAGTTTTTCTCAAATTTAGCCAATACAAATATATTAAATAACATATTGCTCCAAAATTAACCTTCCAGTTTAACTTTCATTGTAAAATTTTACTACGTATAAAGTTTGTCTCAAAACAGTTTCAATTTATCTAAAAGTTAGTGTAAAACTAAAAAGAGAACGTGTACATATTTAAAAATTTTAGAAAAAGTTTTACAAAACAAAGGTGCATTGGCTATCAAATGAGTAACAAAAATATGCAACACGGATAAAGTTTGATCTAATGAATAATGAAATGTAAATTGGGATGGAAGGAGTAATTGTTGGATAACAATATATTTGATTCATTTTGAAATGTAATTTTAGAATATCATGCAATTTTACGTTGATATTTAGTTGTATATGATAATTATAGATGCCAATAATAAAATACTACTACCTCCGTTCCGTTTAAATCGTCTGTTTTGACTTTTGGGCATACTTAAGGAAGAGAAAAAAAGTTGATTTTTTGAAATTGCCATTTTGTTTTAGAAGGGGTGACGATGAATGAGAAGATAAGGTGGAGAAGAGTGACTTATTTTAGGGGTAGTTTAGGTATTTTATTCTTAAAAGTTTACGATAACAAGTAACAGACAACTTATTTTGGAACAGAGAAAAAATGCAAACAGGAGGCAGTTTAAAATGGGACAGAGGGAGTAACATTGTACAATCATTTCAATTCAAGAGTATTTTTTATATTGATAAAACGTCAATAAGAACTTTTGAAGTCTGATAATATATGCAAGTTCTTTGTAGGGTGTTGTGAGAAGGCTTTGTGGCAGATACTTTTTTTGTGCTCAGCTCTATGCCCAAATGTATTGTTGCAATCTGTGGGGTCTTTACTGCCATTGTACATTTTTTTGGCTGGTACTAATGTGGTGAGAAGCCAAATATTGATAAATCTTTTGGTAACATAAAAATGGCCATATTTTTCACATTGTGTTTATTTATCATTGCGGAGTATGATTTCCTATTTTGATACATTAGGTTTCCTAACTTGCGTTGGATTAATCCTTTGCTTGATTAGTATGATTTCAGCAAGACCATTAAGCATTTCACTTGTGATGTTAGACATTAGATATTTCAACTATTAATAAATGACAAATTTGGTAAAATTTGATATGACCTGTTTTTGTTGAATCCAATTTAAAATTCTTGGGTTTTTTACACGGATTTTTTGAAACAAAAATTTGAAATGACCTTTTTTTATGAAAAAATTTACATGGTACTCCAAGAAATATGTGATACTCCCCCCGTTCCAAATTATAATGTCTATTTACTATTCACAGGGTCAAACTTTATTCACTTTCTTTCTCTATTTTCATTAGCAATTTGATAAAATAAAGTACTATTGCCACTACTAGTTTTGTAGATCTTTTGATGTAGTATTTAATTATATAATTTTTATTTTGAACTCTATACCATTTATCGTATAAAATGATTTGAAAATAATTTCAGTCAAACACCGTAAATCGAAACATGCACTATAAATTGGGACGGAGGAAGTATTACAGTAATATTTAGAAATATAATAACTGAGACCATTGCTATCATGAAATACTCAGTGACTGGATAACTATTAAGTATGAATTGGTAATTAATTACAAAATAGATAAAATGCCTTGAATGATTTATAATTACCCCCTCAATGTCGATTCAAAATAAAAACGTGTTAAAATTTAAAAATTTAATTCGATAAATTATGAGTAATGTTTTAGGTTAAAAATTAAATTTTTTTTAAAGCTGATGCAGAGTTGAATTTATATTTTAAAGATCTTTCTGACGAATGTAAATTTAATTATGAAATATCTACGTCAAAACTATTTATTTTGTCTAGAACATAATTTTTATTACTTCGTGGTTACCAACTTATACTCATTAATTTATAGTCACTATTTAAAATGTCTTGTATTTTATTTTGTTGGCAGCTTGGAGTATTGGTATAAAATTGAGCAATTTTTAGAAGCGCGGGTGTAAATTATTCAATTTTGAAGTATTTATGTAATATCACAAATTTTTTTGGAGTATTTGTGTGAATTTTTCCTTTTTTTTATTTCTTCTTTCTTTTTTCTCATCTTCTTCACGGGTGCAAGACCATTGAACATTTTTATTTGTTCTTCACTGACGCAAGAACATTAAGCATTGTGAGTCTCTCTAAAGTGGAAATTGGGGTAAGTATGCATATTGAAATTGTGACAATGTCTTGTAGTTGCGAACTGAACCTAGTACACACCAACGAATGAGAATGCCTGCCTTAAGAACTAGGTTGTTAACTTGTGAGCCCAAGAAGTTGCCAAAAGAATTATGATCACAGTAGCTCTGTGATCTCTTGTAGTTGCGAAGAGAAGAAATTAAAGAATGATAGATATACAAGCAAGTGAAACCTATGTGCATTGTAAATAGGAATACAATTATGGATAAGAATCCTATGTGGGAGAAAATCCACACAAAATTGATCATTTTTACTCAACAGTCTAACTCTTGAAATCTATTTTTCATTTAGGATATTAAGCACTTTTACTCCGGAGAAGTAACTTAAGAGTGGAAATAAAATAAAAGAAGGAAAACAAAATCTTGAGTGAATAGATTGTGTTTGGAAAGGTGAAAGAAAATAAAAGAGGAGAGAAATTATCTCGTTATTCTCCTTCACTACTTTTCCTCTTGAAATGGGAAAAATGTTTAAGTAGTACTTTTCTCATATATAAAATATTAATTAGAAGGTAAATAAACTTATTTTATGTCCTCTCTAAATAGTCCAAAGAAGAAGAGAGAAAAATAATTTTATTTTCTTCTTATAAATTTTCATCTTTATTTTCTTTCCTTCCTAAAAAAGTATCCAAATAGGGGTTTAAGGTGCTCTAAATTGAACCTCATTTTATATTTGCAATAATAAATTGTAAATATTGTTTATCTTCCCAAAAAAAGAGTACTGAATTTGATGTTTCACACTTTCACCATATCTAATTACTACGTAGTACGACTAATATGTTTCACCTTCTTCACCTTTTGTCGATGCGAATTCTTAGCCTTCTTTTTAGTCTTATATTTTTAACCAGATACGTGCATCACCAGCGTTTGTAGTCCAACGGTTAGGATAATTGCCTTCCAAGCAATAGATCCGGGTTCGACTCCCGGCAAACGCATTTATTTATTTTTTCTAGGACCCGTAGAAGACTGAATAACTTTGCTCCCTCGGGGGTGTTCACCGGGTCAAACCCGGCCCGGATCGGGACCGAATAAGGAGCATTTGGTGGACCGAGGATCGGACCGATTAAGCGAAGGACCGGTCCAGGACTGGACTGAATAAATGTTTTTTTAATTTTTTAAAAATTTGATTTTATTTATTTAATTTAAAGTATTCAGTTAAGTAAAAATATTACTATAATTAATTTTTAATTGTAACATACACTAAACAATGTCAAACACTGTTGTTTTTAATTTTTTTAAAAACTTTAAATAAAATATATATCTTCCATCCGTATTATATCTGCCGCCAATGCCCCCATGTCCTTATTGCTCTCACTTAAATATTTAGCACCAGAGTGCCCTGCTATGCCCATCGCACTTTTACATCGCTACTAGCATGCTGCCAAAACACAGCATTCCCCATCAATTTTTCACCGTCATCGACGATATTGCCAGTCTCGACCACTATTGCCAACATCAGCACCACAATATACAAACTTGACACCAAATAATGTCACACATGACAATGCATAATGTCACAAATGCCCATATGTAATGCCATACATGCGAATTCACAATGTCACACAAATGCAAAATGCTAAAACATGACGCAATGCCCTCCACGATGCCTGCCGGCGACCATCACCCACTTCACAATCACCTTTATGGCGACCGAAGTACGAAAATAGCTTGAAACCATCAGAAAAGCACATTTAGAAGAAACAAATTCAAATCTATTTTACAAAATTATTTCTTAAGAAGTAAGAAAATGAATCTAACAAGCATTTTGAAAGAAAATTCGGATAACAATTCAATTATTTTGATACCTTCAAGGGGGAGGTGTGGCAAAGTCCAAACGAAAATCTAATCAAGAATCATCCAAACTAAACAGAATCAATGTAAGGTTCTTTGAAACGCAATCGGGAAAAAAGAAAAAAAATGTTTGACGACGGGAGGGAGGATTGAAGGGCGGAGATCTGTATGGTGGGGGCGGCAATGACGACGCTGCACAATCTGGCATCTACTAGGGGTGGGGCGGTTGTGACGGTGCTGCATAAGGAAATAGGGAAGGAGATTGTGCGATGGCTTTGTGTGACCAGAAAGATGGATTAGATAAGTTACTCTTATATTTAGGGAAATATTATGTTTAAGGTCTTATTTTAGGAATATGACTATGATCTTATTTTAGGAATATGATTATGTTTTACTCTTATTTAAGAGGTTGTATTTAATATCAGAGTATCATAGATATGTTCAAATGCTCTAAATAATATTTGGGGGGGGAATTATAGTTTTAATTTTTTTCTTCTACAAATTTATCTCTTAAAAAATATCTCTACTCGATTCTTATTTTTAAATTAGGATGACATGGAAAGGAATTATATATGCAATATAAAGTCTTCGCCAACTCTCCAACACCACAAAAACAAGCGCGGTCCTTAATCTCCTAACTATTTAGAGCGTGTTCTTTAGAACTTAAATTCTTAACTTTCAGTTTCTTCTAGTTTCTTCCAGTTCTTCCCGTTCCTTCCAGTTTCTTCCAGTTCCTTCCTGTTTCTTCCAAGTATTCTCGTTTTCTTCACACTCTTTCTACTCCCAACTAATTACTCTAAAAATGAGATATTTTTAATGTGATTATTATTATTATTATTACTATTATTATTATTACAGGTATTATGTTCATAACTATAGTTTATAAATTATTTTTTCATTTCACTATTATTACGTTTCACGCTCATTATATTTTCTTCAACTTTTTAATATGAATAAGATAATTTTTTTATAGATTAATCTACAAGCACTACAAAAAAAGGAGGCAATACCGACAGGGGTCAATATGTCGCTAAAGGTTGAATATCTGTCGCTACTCGCTTTTACCGACAAATAATTGTCTGTCGCTAAGCCGTCGCTAAAAACTCCGTCAGTAAAAGTATTACCGACAGATAAAATTTACTGTCGCTAAAATAATGTAATAGCGACAGACCAAAGATGTCGCTAAAAAAGAGAAGAGTACCGACAAAACATATATGTCGTTAAAACATGAATTACCGACAAAAAATAGTGTAGGTAAATCCTTCTTTTCTGTCGGTAATGCCTTATTTTTTAACAACATTAATATTCATTATAACTGTCGCTAAAAGTTGGATTACCCACAAAAAATCGTGTGAGTAAAACATTTTTTTCGATAATAGTTTATTTTGACCAATATTAACATTTATTATAATTAGTACTAATACAACGTTTCACACTCGCATGCTCTATTTAAGTGATATCAAAGATTTTCATTGATAAAAAAATAATAATACTCATACTTGTATTAACAACAATACATAATACGATAACATTTCAAAGGATTACAAATAACTCATTTAATAGAAAGTAAACCAACATCTCAAAATTAGTTCATCATTTGGGTACGTTTCAAGCTAAAGTATAAACAGTCAAAGTGAACTAAATTAAAATGTGCATTCATATGATATGGAAGATATAGTACAAAGTTTTAATGTTCGTCATTGTCTACATCTTCAAGTTCATCGCTCTCAGC